CAGGCCGCACTGCATCCACCCTTTCTCAGTCACACAAGCCATACTTTTAAAACCACTCCCACTCCCTCTCTTAGGATTCTTCGATCCTTCGGATCTTCTCACGGTGTTCCTAGGTGAGCGCACATTCCTAGCTTACACTTGTTCAGGACAGGTTCCTCGATCTTTAGTCCATCAGCCTTTGTTCAGACACAGAAAATTTTACCTACTTTTTGAAGTGCACTTACTGATTCTTGCCTCTTTAGTTCAGATAGGCATATAATTTGGCTGAGAGAAATTTTGTAAACATGTCAATTTGGTTGAAACTTAATTTTCAGTTTTAGTGTACCACAATGATGCCTCACAACTGTATCAGGGAGTCAGATATTTGGCTGTGAATTTTCATCCAATCATTTCTAAGGGCTTGGGAAAAGTTAAAGATTAAAGGAACCAAGAAGAATGAGCTGGAATATCCCAAATACCAAACACGAGGACTAATCATAGTAATCTAAATATTCAACGATTGTTAAAATAAAATGTGAGTTAATGCTGGTATGTAAGTTCCCTTTTATAGAAAAATAGTTATATATGTATTAATAAGGATATGCATTAGTAAGAATTCTAAGAAGATATATATATATATAATACTATATTATCGGTAGTTCTTCCATGTAGATGGAAATAGTATTTTTACATTCCTTTATTTATATTATATTCTAATTTTTAAAATTATTTCATAATACTTTTTGTAGCAAGAAAAAGCCACACAAAACTTATAGAAGTCCTATTCTTAACCCACTAAAGTTATTAGTTTTGAAGAAAAACCACCACTAAAATACTTTTAAACACATTGCTATTTTTACATAATTACTGTATGTTAAATCCTAATTTTTGAGCCATTTTATATAATGCCCTGTTTTCTCCAACTGAAATGCCCTTCCCTGTCATTAGACTTTTTAATGTTTATGACCTAAAAGTCTACATTCCGTGTCACCTTCTCTGATAAGCTGCCCTGTACTCTGTATCTGCTGTAGGTCAAGAGTCTGTGATAAAGACTGGCTCACAGACAAAATCCATTCAACACCTATTTTTGTGCCCTCACCAACTGAGAGGAGCTTTTACTCCTCTAGAAGGGTTAGTTTCTTTAGGGTTCCCAATGCTTTGAGGCAAAGAACATTTTCTAATTCAACTTGGTCTCGCCAGCCTGGAGCAGAGTGCCTCATATATTGAGAACCACTGGATAAATAAACTCCCAAGTGCATGAAGGAGCAGTGCAAGTTCCTTCCTTGCCCTGGATGGAAGGTGCAAGAGGATGGTGCCTTATGTCCTCAGTTCACTGTGTATCTCCTGGGTCCAGAAGAGTACCTGGAACATAGTAGATATTTTCCACAGAAAACATCTGTGGAAGTTTAGTGCATCAATTATAGCAGCATATTTCTGGGCTTTGTAAGTGTTAGATCATTTCTTAGCTTTTTGTATTGTGCTATTTGGTGATTAATGAAAATAAAGCTCTCCTTTTGAGCGTCAAAGAAACAAAGAGACGGCTTTAACTTTATCACGAAGGAAGTAATTAGGAGGTCTTTTCAAGAACGTATTGATTTACTCATCTTCAGAGCATCTCAGTATACAGTTGTAGCCTGCTATTCTCTTTCTTTCACTCACTGGCAGTAATGATTGCAGGGCAAGTGTTAAATCAAGATCCTGCTGACACGGGGTTATTAAATCCCTGTGATCACAGCACCCATGAAGTAGAGTGAGATTCCACACTCTGGCTCCGTGTCACATCAGGATGAGATGTATTTTCAGAGATCGACATGCACACATAAATCACAGTCTAAACACTTCATTCTTGGCCAAGCTTTCCATGAGTGAGTTGAAAGCTCTTTATAGAAAGATGAACTAGTTTTCTATCAGCTCTGTGAGTTTGCAAGGATGAACTAGGATTCCTATTCTATATTATAGAAAGCCCTCCTGGACTTCATCAAGATCCAAAGAATTCACAGTTATACTCTCAGGGAAAAGTTACCGGAATTTCAATAAGTAATTCCAACTACTCCTTCCAATGCAGTCCATGGTGAGAATCAAGACACTAAGGCATATTTATAATTGTGGGGAGCCAAAAGAGTGGTAAGTCCAGCAAGAACAATGGTTAACCAGAACCAAGGGCTCCACTCAGACTAAACTGGGCTTTATTAATTTGTACAAAGGGCATGGCTCAGCGATAAGTGTGTAAAAATGGAGGGAAGTACATGAACACTGTGAGCTGAGCCAGGTTGGAGGCAAGAGAGCTGTCTGCAATATGCAGAGAGAGACAGAGACAGAGAGACCGAGAGACACACAGCGAGAGAGATGCAGAAAGAGTAATCTGTTCTAACACAATTTGGGGGAATATCTAATGTTTTGGGGTCAGTCCTTCAGTTTGATGTGTTATTTTCATACCCAGAGACATCATAGTCTCTTTTCTCAAGACACAATCTCAGCCTCTCGGCCTAGCTCACACATACTATTTGGGAGCTGTAGGTGGGGGCATCACTGACTTGTCACGTTGCTTTAAAGACTACACATCAGCACCTGGGCTAGACCTATTGCATTGCTTAAAGCCAGTTGAGGGGATAAAGAAATATTCTAGCCAGCTCTGCACATATCAATACATGGAAATAGGGCCAGGTTTAGCCAAAGAAGAGACAAATGCTCTTTCAAGGAGAGTCGGCCTGGTAGACCTTCATGCTACATTGACTACTGATTATTACAATGCCCTGAGACTTTGTGCATTCACAGTACTGGATTCTGCATAACATACCTGTCTTAGTTATTTTTTACTCGTATCTGAGACAAAATACTTGATGCCCAAAGTTGGGAAAGGAAACATTTATTTCTTACAGTTTTTTTTTTTTTTTTTTGAGTTTTCAGTCCATACTCAGTTGGCTCCAAGGCAGGGTGGCATGGTGGGACTGCAGTTCATGGCGGCTGTAAACAGCAAGGCAGAAACCGGCAAGAGAGAGAAATACCCCTTCTTCCTGCCATTACATTGTATGCTGGCTACACCCTATGTAGGTGTAGCACTGACACCATCAATCCAAGCACTAGATAATGAATCAATCACAAATGCATAATGTAAATGCATGAGGCCTGGGGGCCACCAACATAACCCATGATGGTACCCTAGAAATGTTTTTCCTTAATGATGAAGGAACTCAATGTCTGAGCATACTATCCATGTCTTATTATGAGTTCTATAGTATTTGGCTTTGTGGATTGAATATGAGCATGTGTATCTTTCTTTAAACTTTATAAATGGCTGGTAAGTGCAATCTGCACTCTCTTGAAGTACAAAGGAAGCCCCTGATAAGACAAAGGAGAAAATAAGTCTCTTGCTGATCACTTCCAAGGAAAAACCCCAATCAATCTCCCCAGCTTGGCTAACTCCTGATAACACCAGGACTGGCCATTTCTTCCTTACTCAAGAGGGCTGCTGCAAATCCTGTGTTTGGGACTCCTGTACAGTCTTATCAGTGACCAGTTTGTCAGCAAACATTTGCTCTTCAATCTCACCAGGGTGGAGTTGAAAGCCATTTGCATCTCACTTCTCTTTTCCATCTAGAAAAGCCCTTCCCCATGCACACAAGAATCAGGACAAAGGAAAGCCCTGACTTTCGGTTCTCAACACACACACACACACACACACACAACACATGCTTTAAAAATTTAACTTTCACTTTTTTGGGGGGAACAAGAATGAACACAGTTGTAAACACTACAGTTGTAAACACTAAAGGAGAAAGGTGAAACTAGTTAAGTCACATCCAAGGTAAATAGCAACCCCCACAATAGTTCTAAGAATGGGTGGCCTTGGGGACGCTTAGGGCTGGAGGGAAGATGTGAAGAACTGACACAGAAGAGCCTGGGCTTTGCTGTCAGAAATTACCAAACTCACATGTGACCTTAACATTTCTGTACCTCAGCTTATTCATCTATTGTATGGGGATTGTACATTTTGAACTTATGAAGGAAACTTGGTACAGAAAATGTTGCTCATGTAAGTTTCCCTTCATTTGGAGCTGGGGCACAGACTTAGGCCAAGGGCCTCTGAAACACTCTGTAAGAGATTACATAATTTCTTATTCAGCAAGAGGATGGCTGAACGATGGAACAGACTACGAGAAACAGACCCAAGAACCACTGGAAAAATTTTCTAGTGGAATGAAATCCTCTTGATGGGAAGCAATCCAAAACTCTGTCATGAAGCAAATAATTATTGAATGGGTGGCCCAGATTTCTTCCCAAGGCTGCTGTTCCGAATTGTAGGACACAAAGGATAAATTGCTAATCACAGTTAATACGAAGGACTTTAGAAAGGATTTATAGCTTTCATAAATGAGCATGGGAGCCCCAGGATGGAATAAAGGTAATCTCTGATACCTCTTTCTCTTATTTGAATTCAGATGTTCCTTTAGTAATAGAGTGGAGTAAATTAATAGCAAAGAGTGGATTAAATTAACAGTAAATTAATAGGCATGCAAATTCATGTGCCCGTGCTCTCAGGTGTGTTTGTATTGGCATGAGCACAATGGGCACAAGGCATAAAATAATTAATTTTAGAAAAGACTGAAGCCCTCTGGACTAAGGCTTGTTTGGGGGAGTTCTAAAGGAGATATTAATGCTAACTTCAAGGTTGTTCTGAACTTTGGGGGCTTCCCTTTCAGGCACTCCACTAGAGCTTACATCCTGCCTGCTAAGAAACTTCCTAACTTTCCACTTTTTCCCTTCCAGAAATAGTTGAGTCTAATAGTAAATAAATGGGCTGATTTCTGGCTATCTATCAGACTTGTGGAAATAGGGAGTATTTGAGGCTGTAACATCAGTAACTTTAGGATCATAAAAGCCACACTAGAATGTTTTCCCATCTTTTTACTACCAAAAGAATCTTTTTAGGAAATTAGGGGTTTCAGCTTTTAAGAAAGAGATCTAGTCATATTTTCTTGGCTATGTGGAAACAGGAAAAAAAATGCTAATGATTAAACAACTTTTGGGTGAAAATATATTTTTAATATTCAGAAATGTTACATACTTAACAGATGTATCAACTAAGAAAAATATTAGTTTGGCTTTAAAAAAAAGAAAATAAACCTTCAATCCAAATTTATTGGAATTACAAAAATAATATCACATTTCTATAACTCATTACAACTCAGAGTCACCAACACATCCAGAGATAGGAAGATCATCTGTCACTCCCTGCCCATATCAATCTTATGTCATATAAAAGAAGTTTGTTTGCATATTTACAGAAGAAAAAATACTGATTGTTTCTTAAAATTCTCTTTGGAATTCCCAGGCGAGGCTAGCTTTAAAGACAGGGAACATTCAAGTTACGTGTATTTTAGGACTATCTCACAATGCATCTCATTAAACACCACTCAACAGTTCCGAGTCATCTTCTAGAGACGTTTATCGCAGAGCTTCTGGAACCTCCACCTACAAAAATAGGGTATTTTCTTTCAATAAAACAACACAAACAGTAAATAAATATGTAAGGTCTGTCTCTAGCAGAATTTTCTGAGAAAAACTTGATTACTGCTGCAAGGTATTCTTATTTTATATTGTAAATTGGGTTGTCAACCAATTATGAAATTTTCAACAATTCATGAGAGTAGACTATACTCTCTGATTTTCTTATGTTAAAAACTGCATTATTTCTATGTTGCGGTGTCCTAACAGGGTCCTGACCCTCACAGGACTCGGGTGCTAAGACGGCCTGAGCATTTACCTCTCATGTGGAAATGTGCTCACTCGTGCACCTGTTCCTGATGTTTGGCACTTGCTCTTCCAGGGCAAAATATTTGCAATACTAATGAGTATTTGGAGAAACAGGAGACTTTGCTATCTCCTTGCAATGGAGGCAGGACTCACCCTTTAAACCTTCTCCTCTGTTCTGGGGTTACTTACCCTCCTTAGCTGTTTGATGCTGCTTCCCCGAATCGCTTCCATGAGGTTCTCATGAGCTGATCTCTGTGGGGTAGAAGGTCGAGAACTGTCTTCCATTTTCTTCTCTTGCACTGACCTCAGAGAATTTTTTATTTCCTTTAAGATGTTGTTTGGCTGTTTCTTAACCTTTTTTCCTTTTTTCTTTTTCTGTCCATTTTGTAGTGCCCGCTGGGCTTTCTCTTGTTGTTTGATGACTTCTGCAATGTTGCGGGTGATGAGCTTTTTCTCTGGCAGGGGAGGTGGAGGAGGAGGAGGAGGAGGTGGAGGAGGAGGTGGCGGCATTTGGGGAGGGGGAAGGGGAGGGGGAGGGGGAGGTGGTGGGACCACAGGAGACGGAGGTTTGTTCCGCACAGTCTGCACTTTCTTGGGGAGTTTTGGGGATGACCAGGGAGAGTTCCTGGGAGATGAATAAGGTGAAGACCCAGGTGTTCCTCTTTGCCAGACTTTCGTCCTAAGATTGGATCCTCCTTCATACCCTTCTTGCTGCTTCTGCTCCTGTATCCGCTTTTGCCTCTGCTTATCCATATTTCTTGTTAAGATGCTTGTCATGCTCATTCTTGGTCCAGGGAGCTCAAAATGATACCCCAGCTTCAACAATGTTGTGTTCTCCTTCAGCAGCTTGACGATCTCCATCTCCACCTGGCTGCCCATGATGTGCCTCTGGTTGTGGAAGCGCAGCTCTGTGAGCACTGTGTTGCGCTGCAGAGCTCGCATGATGGCCAGGATGCCCTTGCCAGTGATGAAGTTGGACTCCACATTCACACTGGTGATGTGCTCGTTGACCTTGAGCATCTCGGCAATGGCTATGGCTGCAGCGTCATCTGCGTGTGTGTTGGCCAGGCTGAACGTCTTCACCACCGTGTTGTCCTTGAGGGCATCTGCAAAGCGGGTGAGGGTCTGCGTGGTGATGTTCTCTATGTTGTTCAAATTGACTTCTGTGGTATCGGGATCATTGTTTTTAATCTTTTCCAAAGCATCCTCAATCACAGTGGGATTTCCACTAGGGTGAATAGCAGCTGGAGACTCTGTGTTTCTCTTGATGTTGCCATTAGTCAAATTTATGTTTTCTACTTGACTCCTAAATATCTTTGGCTTAGAGCTTTCAGAATTGATACTGTTGTAATTCACAGTTCCATTAATGTCTTTTGGGGTTTCAGTACTTTCCTCTTCTTCACTATCTTCTTCCTCCTCGTCCTCCTCGTCCTCCTGGGATGCCTCTTGTTCCTCCTCTGTGTACACATCCTCAGACGCCTCGCTGTTACATTCAGTGAAGATCAGTTCTTCCTCACTCTCCTCCTTGTCTTCCTCTGCAACCTGATGAGTACAAGGTCATTGTTAAATTTTTCATTTTTAACATTTTATTCATGTACCAAAGTAACATATAGCAAGGGCCATAAAAGCCTACCATGACAAAATTAACAATGCACCACGTCAGTTCTAATTCAGGTGACCAAGGTTAACATTTTGCTGCATACATCAATAGCTTCTTCTACAAATGGTTTTTTAGTATAGAGTATCCAGAATTCAAGCTACAAAAAAAGTTATCATTTTGTCAATTTAAATAACTAAGTTTAATAAAAACTTAGAAAACCTTTGGGAGTTTTTTGTGTTTTGTTTTGTTGTTTGTTTGTTTTTTGGTACCAGGGATCAAACTCATGACCTCTCACTTGCCAGGCAAGTGCTTATGCCACTGAGCTAAGTCCCCATCCCCAGAAAACCTTTGATAAATACTGTATTTCTTTTCTCAACCACAGATTCTACATTACTTAACTTTCTGGAACCAGTTCTCTTTCCTTTCTTATTTTTCTGTCCCAAACAAATGACAACAAAAATATATGACATGGTAATTAGTTCCCTTTACTTAATGTTCAAAATTCGTTCCCAAACTTGTGTGAAAAGCCAATCTGATGGGAGCTAAGGGCTTCCTTCCCTACTTGTCAAGGTGTAGACAGAATGCTGAGTGACATTTGCTCCTCCACATTTATGGATTTGATTTCTTGGGTAGAGCCTGGTGCAGAGACTGGGAGACTCCTATCACCCACCCATAAGCTGCTGCTCATGACAGCAACAGGAGGTCAAACTCATCTTTATGCTGAAAAATATTCAGGCCGCTCTTCTCAACAAGCAGTGTGAAAGCCCAGTGAGCTCAGCGTTAAATGAGACAGACTGCAGATCACCAGGAAGGAGAGATAATCACCCTTAACAATAACTATATTCTGACCATCGATGTCCATCAATATAAAGTGGTAAAAAGTCTTCTTCAAGTAAGTCACTGCCCAGCTGGTGGTTTTAAGTTGATTTAGCATGTGTCAATTATGAAAGGCTTTCAGGTACACACTTCATTCCAGCTTTGTCTTTGTGTTCTGGGCAGCATTTAAGTGACCCCTTTTCTCTCTTTTACAAGTAATTTTTAAATATCTGGAAAGTGCTGATAGAGTCCAGTTTCCCTTGCTGCTATCTTTTTATTCCTTTTTCTTTAGAGCCTTCTCTCTTCCCTAAAGCTTTGATTCCAATGCAGCCATTAGAAAGGGGTTTTCTATGTTGTTTTCTTTCTTTCTTTCTTTCTTTCTTTCTTTCTTTCTTTCTTTCTTTCTTTCTTTCTTTCTTTCTTTCTTTCTTTCTTTCTTTCTTTCTTTCTTCTTTTCCTCCAAAGGTTGCTGCCTGAGGCGTGTGGCTCAAGCTTTGGAAAACACTACACTTGTCTCCAGGTTTGTTTGTCCAGTTGCTATCACAAAATAGCCTCCATTATCCACTTGCTTGGAGTGGCAGGCACCAAGTGATGGCCTGGGGAAGGGGTCAGCCACGCCTCAGATGTGATGACGCAATGTCTTAATTTATTCACTTCTTCAGGGGTGAGGAGGGAGAGGAGTGTGTGCGTGCATGTGTGTGTGTGTGTGTGTGTGTGTGATGGAGACAGAGACAGAGAGAGACAGAGGAGACAGAGACAGAGAGAGAGAGACATATCTGTGGCAACCCAACAACACAAAGAAGCTGGGCTCTAGCCCAGCCTTCCCCCGGCACATGTGAGAAAGAGGGAGCCCAACAGTGGAGGAAGTGGATTAGCAGGGAAAGGAATACTGCAGACAGAATTCTCACTGGCACCCTGAATTTCACTGTGAATGTTCTTGTTATTGCAGTCTCTATAGGCTATGTGCGTGCACATAGTACATGCATGTTTTGTATATGAAGGAAATGGGACTTGGTTAAAATCCAAAGTACATCGCTTTTTATGCTACATTTTAATATTATCCCTGTGGTGTTTTGTAGACCTTTGGGCTTGATCTAAAAGAGCTGCATGCCCCTCTAAATGTACTAGAAATATAATATCTGAACCTGTCATATAACAAAATGGGTCACCGTGGAACATCTACCTCTTCCAGAAAACCTTCTGGGGCACTCTCTCAAACTGTCCCTGCAATACATTTCCAAACATTGCCCCTCCTCAATAAATTACCTATCATAATTATTTTAATTATGTCATTTTTTCCCAGTAGATGATTAATTGGAAGAAAGCAGGACCCCTGTCTGTTTTGCTCACCTTGCCCAGGGGTTAGCCTGTAGCAGAGCCTTGTTTACTGAATGGACCAAGTTGACATGGGTCAACAGGTGCTCTGTGTGACTAACCCTAGGAGAGAGTACCGATAAGGTCGGATGGGGGTAAGATGACAACTGTTCCAGTTTCTTTGCCTGAGCTGAGGGCTTCCTAAGATGCAGGAGTTGTAAAGTCTAGGTGGTCCTGGGTAGTGTAAGATGGTTAGTCACCTCCAGGTATGGAGCATCTGGAATAATATCTGAAAGAGAAAAGGAATCCAGAGAGAGGCGGAAAGAGGGTGAAATATACAAACTTTCCTCCTTTATAAATTATTTGTGGAGAGTGTGGGATTAGAACTCTTGTGCCTACAGCTGAGGTTGTAGGGGGACAGAGTTGGAGCTGGGCATAGATACAATGAGGAGGTGAAGTGAGGTCGTGAAGGAAGCAGTGGGGACAGGTGACCACTGGTGCAGCTGAGGATGAGGCAGTGAGGGGTGGGAGCCGGGTCTCCTGATCACTTCTGCAGAATCATCGCCTGGATTAGGGGGCGAGAGGCTTGGTTCTCAGTTCCATCCTGTTTCTACCCATAAAGAGCTGGTTGGCTTTAGATAAGTTAGTGGGTTTCACAGAAACTACAAGAGTTGTCATTTTTAGCTCCATAATTTCACTGTGTGTCATAATACCCCGGAGGACTCCGTAGACCACAGACTGGTGGGCCCCATCCCAGAGTTTCTCATTCAGCAAATACTGGGGAATCCTAGAATGCACAGGTCTCAGAGGTCTCCAGGTGCTGCTGGGGCTGCTGGTTGAGCACCTACAACTTTGAAAAGGACAGTCTTCAATGCACCAGAGCCTAACTTGAATTTCAGTTCTACATAGGAACTGTTAATCTTGAATATATTTAGTAATATTCTCTAATCTTAGTTTTTGTGTGTGGAACGTTAAGAAGGAAATGGGATAATGAGAGGAAACTTATTAGCACCTGTGGCCGAGACCCAGCAGCTATTATGCTAGGGAGCTGGACCATTACATGTCCAGGGATCTTGATCTCCAATATAGCACATGTTTTTGTTAACCCAGCTGAGCAGAAGGCTCTCTCTCAGTCAATAGGTATTGCACAGGATTTTGATAAACCTTCACTGATCCAGATGCCTGACATTAAGACCCCCAACTGCCCCACAGATCCCACTGTGCTGCTCTTCACTTGTGGGCGGCCTAACTCCCTCCCCTTTTAGCTGTTCTGAGATTTTTTCCCTTGTGGTGGGAATGGATTTACACCCTCTATCAGCAGCCTTTTGCTCAGCACTCCTTGTGACTACAGAGTCAGCTGGCGAGTCGAGAGTGGAGTGGGAGAAAAGCTAACCACCCAAGAAAGGAATCCAAGTTCACCAACAAGACAGCCTCTTTAATTGGCCTGATAAGCCTTTGGCACAGGTCAGCAAAACCTTTGGCAGGATCAGCTGGGTCTCATCAACAGCTGACAACAGGCTTTGTCCTTCAGTTCCTGCCATTGTCATGACATTATGACATTAAAATGCCTTTGTGGGTTATTGCTATACTGGCGCATGTCTTGGACATGCAGAGACAATTTTATTCTTTATGTCAGGGAAGTTCTTCAGTAACTGTCATGAAAATATTCTATCTCATCAAAATTTGACACTCATTCTCACATTCAAAAAAAAAGACTTAAAATTAAATGGCGGCAGAGGGATTGACTGGCTTAACTCCTGGATGGCCATGAGTGTCCCTTCTCACTTCTCATCTTCCTTCCCAGCACAGACAGTGACCGTGGTCTTGGCATATTCTGGCCTGGTCCCAGTGACCCGTCCTGCGATGATTGACATGCACAAAGTTCACACATATCTTGCTGAAAATGTGACTCACACACCTATCATCAAGATTATCTAACAGCATCTAGATTAGGGCAGTAGAAGGTTTGCCACTATTCTGAATGCATTTTGATTTTAGGTGATTTCAGGGGTTAGGTGAATGCACGGGTTTTAAATTATTGCTTTTGACCTGTGTTCTTCCACAAAGCCAGGACTTTTTAAAAAATATATTAACATCTTACTGTTGTAATGATTTTCCCAGACCATATTCTCTGAATTTCCTTCCACAAATGATTCATTTGGAAAATTCAAAACAACTGTTTACTGGCATATACAAGGAAGTCTGGTAACCTACGCTCTAATATGAGCATATCATCATACAGACAACAATCTGTGTAGGTATAGTTAACCTGGGTCCTCAGATGGCTTTCATCATTTTGAAATTCTATGCATATTTGCACATATGCAATTTTCTTGGGGTTTATTTTTCAGAGTTTCAAGGGGGTTCTTGATACACACACACACACACACACACACACACACACACACAAACTGTCCTACTGAACTTCCTTAACAACAGATGGAAAGATAATCCTGAAGGACTGAAAACCTTTTCAAAGCCTAACGACTTGAGGACACAGCAATATTAAAACTAAGTTCCCTTGACTCTCAGGCCAATATACTTCCTAAGATTTCACACTTTTTTGATGTTGGAAACAGAACTTTTTTTATTATAGCAACTATTGCAATGAAAATAACAGAAAATAAATGTACTTAACTGCAAAAAAATTTTATCAGAAACATACAATACCACATCACCAAATTATAGTTCAAGTAAGACTTATTTTTGGCAACCTAATTAAACTCATATATACTAATGGTGAATTATTGTCTTCTTGAGGTTCACATTTTTAAGACAACCATAAAGGTCCCAGTTAAGAATTTTTACTTATGGTTCATTGGGTGATCACAAGAGTTGCCTGTTTCAATGTGAGAAAAGTTTCTGTAATGGGTACAAATAAGCTAGCAGGAAGTTAAAGCGATGAGGAATGAGGGAGAAAACAGGTGCCTGGGTTTAGGGTAAGGGATGAGTAGAGGGATTAGCCAAGGAAATGTCCCAAGAGCCTACCTTTCCACACTCCCCCAGCCTCTCCTTCTCCAAGAGTTTTTGAGACTCCTTTTCCCAATAGGCCATCAATGCCTCTCTGCTGAATGTCCCTGTGGGCGTTTTCTCAGTCAGACTCTTTTGCCTTAGCCCCACGGGGAGGTTACGGTCAGGTTCAATGTCGTCTAGCTCCCTCTCCAGCTCCTTCAACTCCTCAGCTGTTAGGGAGGCCAGGAGTTCATCCTCATCAATGGATTCATATTTACTAAGTCCTCTTCTATAGCCAAAGGTAGACATAGTCTCCACTTCGTCAGGCTCACAGGTTGCTGGAAGAAGCAGGCATTCAAGGCGGCCAGAGGCAGGCAGGGAAGCAAGTGGGAAGGCTGGGCAGCAGCTGGTGCCGGTAGTGGCTGCCGTAGCCTTTTAAGTGTGGTGATGATGTAGGGCTGTGACAATGCAGGAGGGTGAAAGCATGCGCTGTTTTAAGCATCAGACGTCAGCTAGATATTTGAACACAAAGAATGTCACATCAGTGGTGGATGGAGGTCTCAGAAGCAGCAGGGATTATTAACATAGTGGCCAGGGCCATATTTAGCTGAGCCTGATAGATAGCTCATGAGGACAGGCAGAGTGTTCAGAGAGAGAATGATGAGGCTCTTCCCACATTGTGGGAAATTACAAGGGAATAGAATTTATTATAAAAATGATTTGCCACTAACTCATAGCCATGAAAAGCTTCTTTCATTATAATCTTAGGGGTTGAGAAATGATTCAACAATAATCTTTTTTTAAAGTTTTTTTTTTTTTAATTTTAAAGAGAGTAAAAGAAAACAGAACAAAGCAGATCAGAAGAAAACAATGTAAGTGACACAGATTTCAAAGCAAGACAACAGGATATCAACAGGGATTACCATAGTGTCTCTTGTTTTCTTCTAAGTAATTGTCTATTTTCATACACAATGAATTCATACAAAACAAAATAGTATAAAACTGATCAGAGCAGAATAACATTACAGGCCTTCAAAACCAGACAATAAGAAAAGGCATTACAGGCCTTCAAAACCAGACAATAAGAAAATCAACAATGGCCGCCATAATGTCTCTTATTCTCTTCAAAATAGCTGTCTGTACTTTCATATATATTGAAATTCAATAATACAAAACAGACTAAAACCACTCTAAATAAAGGATAAAATCAATACTGAATTTCACAGCATGATGATACGAAATCAACAATGGATACCATAGTGTCTCTTTTTCTTCAAAGTAGCTGTTCATATAATCACGTATAATATACACTTACTGTTTAGGAGAATTTTTAGGCATGTATAGGCCTCTACATGTACATCTATCCTTTCCTTTAACAGTATTTATTGATAATTTTGTATCTTATGTACTCTTACCATTTCTGACACTAGGGAGACAATATGGTATTTACACATGTAAGTTTGATTTATTTCATTTATGAGTATGGTCTCAAGTTGCCTCCATTTACCTATAAAAATCTCAGTGTGATCATTCTTTATAACTGAGTAGTACTCCACTGTATAAAAGTAACCTCTTTTCTTTATCCATTCCTCAGGTGATGGGCACTTAAGTTGCTTCCAAGATCTGGCTATTACAAATTGTGCTGCTGTAAACATGGGGGGCATATATCATTGTGATATGGTGTTTTTCAATTCTGGGAATATGCCTAGAAGTGGAATAGCTGGGTCAAATAAGACTTCCAATCCCAGCTTTTTGAGAAATCTCCAGACTGACCTCCACAATGGTTGCACCAGTTTATATTCCCATCAACAGTGCAGAAGAGTTCCTTTTTCTCCACAGCCTCTCCAGCATGTGTTGTTGGTAGTTTTCTTGATCCTGGCTATTCTTTCAGGAGTGAGACGGAATCTCAGTGTGGTTCTAATTTGCATTTCTCTAATGAGTAATGATGATGAATATTTTTTCATGTATTTATTTGCCATTTGTATTTCTTCATCTGAGAACTGTGAATTCATCTCAGATGCCCATTTTTGGATTGGGTCTTTGAATTTCAGGGGTCTGATTTTTTAATTCTTTATATGTTCTAGACAGAAGTTCTTTGTCTGAGGGACAGTTGACTTAAGATTTTTCAGAATTCATGGGTTTCCTTTTTATTCTGTTGGAAATTTCTCTTGACATGCAAAAACTTTTTAATAAGATGAGATCCCAGTTATTGATTCTGAGAAGTATTTCCTGTGTGGTTTGATTTTTGTTCATGAATTCTCTGCCTACCCCTATCTTCAAGTTTTCTACCTACTTTGTCTTCCAGCAGACTTAATGTTTCTGTTTTGATATTTAGATCTTTGATCCATTTTGACTTTAATTTAGGACATGGTGATAGGCAACTGCATTATAATGTATAGGTAGGTTTTTGGTTCTCTTATAAATACGCCATGGGTGATGTGGATGGGAATAAAGATACAATAATACAGTACTTTATATCTTTATTGTACTTTGCAGCTCACAAAGCATTTTCATATCATTTTTCATAGCTATAAATCCTACAAGAGGAATAACATGATTCTCACTACAGGACTGGCAGTTGAGACACTGAGAGATTAAGTGAAATATGTGAAGCCAGATAGTAGAAAGGGCAGAAGTGTCTTTCTCTACTGCATCAAATAGCTGCCTTTTCCTCCTTTTGCACAATAGTGAAATGCTAGATCCTCAACTAAAATATTAAAAACTATATACTCAACTAAAATACTAAATACTCAACTAAAATATTAATAGTAGTACTGGGTAGAATTTATTAAAGAGTAATATTGTTCTATCCCAGTGCTAAGCATGTTACATGTTTTATCTCACTTAATCCCACACTCCTCTAGAGTATATATTGTTGCCCATATTTTACTAATTTAGGTCTAGGGAGGGTAAGTAACTATTTTAAGAGCACAAAGCTAAGAAGTGGTAATGTTGGAATTCATATCTAATCTGAAAATTAAAGAGATGCTAATTTGTAATTATGTATTGTGAACATGGCAAAATATATACATTTCATTAATATAGTCAGCAATTGGTGAATATTTATGTTGTCTCTAAGATTGGACGATGAGTAATTTTGCTGAGCATTTACATGCAAGTCTTTGACCATATATTTTTATATATCTTGGGTAGACATGCAGGAATTGAATTACTGGTTGCATGATAAAGTCACTTTTAAAGAAACTACAAGTATTTTCCAAAGTGATTAGACCACTTATGCTTTCATCAGCAATAGAAAAGAATTCCAATTTTTAGAGGCTGGGGATTTAGCTCAGTGGCACAAGCTCCTGTCTGGCAAGTACAAGGTCAGGAGTTTGATCCCTGGTACAAAAAAAAAAAAAAAAGAATTCCAATTTTTCTACATCCTTATCTGCTATTGTTTATATTTCTGATAATAGTTATTTTAGCAAGTGTAAAATGATGTTGAACATAATTTGTATCTGTTGGCTGTCCTATGTCTTCTTTGATAAATTCATTCAAATTTTATGCTTGTTTCTACCTTGAGTTGCTTTTTATTGAGTTCTGAGATCTTCATATATTCTGCCCAGAAGTTCTTTATTAGCAAACCAGTACTCAACTATCTTCACACTATTTATTGAAAAGACTATTTGTCTCCTATTGAATTGCCTTGGCATCGTTATGGAAAATTAACTGACCATAAATGTAAGAATGTATTTATGAGCAGTCACTTCTGTTCCTTTGATTTATCTTTCTGTCCAGATAGCAACACACATGGTTTTAATTACTATAGCTTGGCAGTATGTTTTGATATTGGAACGTGTAAGCCCTCTTATAGCTGATTAGTAGGAATGATTTGGCTAAATATTTTTATTTTAACTCATTCTTGTGTTCTATCTCCAATCATAACTGTTACACTTTTCAGTGATTCCAATGAGAAATCATGATGATATTAAAATGAGTTAATTTTTTAAAATTTCTTTTTTGAAAACATAATATTTTTCATTTCTATAAGGTCTATTATGATATTTTCATTCATATTTACATTAAGTAATGATCAGATCAAGGAAATCATCTTCACTGACTTTTATTTATATCCTGTAGCATAACTTTTGTGTAGCATCAGTGGAGGCTCACTTGTTATTTGAAAACAAATGTGATTTTTAAAATGTAATGGTAAGATTTGAAAGCCAAATATAGTAAAATGAGTTATCTAGTTTTATAACAACATTGTAGATAAAAAGAAAAATTACAGTTATGTTAAAAAGTTTTTACAAGAAAATGCATATAAATTATAACACATATTCATTCTTTTAATAATTATGTACTAGGCAAAAAGATATGTTGACTGCTATGCAAATTTTAGGGTATATTTTATGTAAGTTACACTGGAATGTTATTTTTTCTCTTTTATGTTCATAATTATAGATGCATATTTTTCATTTTAAAATTTATTTTTTATTAGGACATGCTTGTGATACATAATGTTAAAATTTTAAATTCCTTGAAATTTACTAAACCTACAACACATATCTAATTTAATTGCTGGTTTGGATCGGTGGTCAACACTATCATAGTATCTTATTTTATGGAGCTCACATTTCAGTTGGGAGAGACATACAGTAGATTAACAACATGTAAATACAGAACATATCAGATAGAAGTTCCATGGAGAAAATATGGTAAGAGGTAAATAAGAAGGCTGTAGGAGTGGTATTTCATATAGGAAGATTTCTGTAACAAAGTAACCTTTGATATAAGATGATAAAGAGACCCTGAGAACTGCAGAAGTAAGGGTTTGATACATGTCGATTATATACACACTTAGTGTGTCTACGATAATTGCTCAGATAATCATCGAATCACAAACTCTCAGATTTGAATATTTCAAATGTATATTAATGCTCAGTTGTCTATAAGTGATTATCTATTGTTTTCTTGCATCAGTGAAAAAAAGTAGATTCCAAAAATTCATTCTGTTTTGGATGAGCTAGATCTAAAGAAAATCTTCTTTTCAATTAAGTTGAAACTGGTTGAAAAATCAGCCTGTGTATTTTCAGTTTCCTCACTGGAATGACTCAGAATCCATCAAGTCTCATTTGAGTTTCTTCTGCTAAATCTCAGATGTCCCATGAATGACTCTGACAAGCACAACAAAAGAGGAAGTAGTAACATGTTTTGTTTTGTAGAACATAATGCCTCTCAAGGACACTATTAAGAATGGCCTTTCAAATATCTGGGTATGGTATATTTCTTACAAATCATTCTGCTTATAATTACAATCAAAACTTAGGCATGACCTTAGTGCATGGAATCTTTCTGTAAGTATTCTTCGCAAACCAAATCTATTGGATAAAAATCTATTGAGTAAACAAACTGCCGTTTGACAGTGGCTAACCTTAGATATTGAGTAATTTAAATTTCCTTAGAAACTTCTCTATATCAAGGGGAAAAGTCCAAATATATATATTTTCCGTATATATATTTACATTTGGGAATTTTTACTTTGTCACTTTGTGTTTTGTATAGAACTATTTTTAGAGTTGACAATATTACAAGCCTTTTGAATACTAGTATTTTGGGCACCTTTTTTTTTTATATAGAATCCAGTTTTCCCAACATCACTTTGGGAAGAGATTGTCCCATTTCTGCTCTACTTCTTGATTCTCAATTAGATACCCGATCTTCGAATACTGAAAATTCTCTTTTTTATGAAAACTGAGTTGTCTTTTTCTTTGTATTTTCCTTTTAGTTTCCTCTACAAACTGTTATTTGTTTGTTCAGTACCCATTTACCAACTACTCGCTATGCCATAGATCTGTGTTGGGAGCTAGGATTACACACAGCAAAATAGAAATCATTCCAGTCTCTCCTCTCAAGTGGTTCATCATCATGGAAGACAGCAAACAGCTGACAGCTGACAGTAACGCAGTGCAGAGCCACCTCCAGCCCATCGCCAGATGCCAGGGAGAGGAGAGCAGAGGAATTGCAGACGAAGACATGGGCGGAATTAGAGAAGCCTCAGACACTGAAGATTTCTGAACAAACTCACAGGTGTGTGAAGACAAAAACAAAAACTGGATTTTGGCATAGGAGTGGGGGAGAAGGTAGAATCCATACTCATGTGCTGCTGTAAAGTTAATGCTTTGGTATCTTACTCCCATTCTGTCTTTCAAGAGCCACAAGCAGTATTCCCTGCACATGGTTAAGTGCTTAATTCAGAAATGTTAAATATTTGATGTGAAGTTCTCTAAACCATGTCAAAGAGTTTTGGACTTTATTATCATCTGCCATTAAGTGATCATCTCTAACATCAATCCTGTGGTCACCATCTGTAGCCATAATTTTCAATAATTGCCTAACTGAGAGCTTTCCCCCCTAGCAAATACTGTATTGTGTACTAACAGAGACTCAGGGAGAGAGAGGGAACAGAACTCATCAGTATCTGCAAACATCGGCAACACTAGCACTTTCATTAGGCAGATACTACAATAAGTAATATTTAAAAGCAGTAATCAGAGACTGGTAACTACTCTAGGATATCATGTTATTTTAGTCCAATCCTTCATAGAGGATTGTAAAAAGGAATCACTTTCCGATGGATTATATACTTTTGGCAGTTTGTATTTAGTAGTGTTAATATACCCTCTGAAGTTTTTTCTAACTTTCATAATCCTCAAATTTCAGAAAGAAATTCTTGTGTAGGCATCTTGTGTAGGCATTTATAATGCTAACGAGAATAAAATGCATGAATTATATGAGCCTATTTAATTTAGGATTTATAATTATATATTAATATTTAATTTAAAACTCATTTCTATGGGCTCTCTGATTTACCCTACAATAGTTACTTATCATTTGCAGATTTAATACACTCTATTTACTTTCAATGATTTTAAAGGTGCCATTTTACTTAGATAAAATTTGTACCTTCCAACTTGAGTGATTCATGAAACTATTCAGAATACCTCCAAAGTATCTCACTAGTACCTAAAGTCAACCTGCCTGAAACCAGTGTGCTGAGTTCCCTTTTCTGTTTCTCACCCACCCTCAGGCCTCCTCAGTTCTGAAAGCTTCATTCACCAGTTGCTGGAGATTGTGTTTCCTTTGGCTCCTTATCTCCCATCACGTTCTGTCATGGAGCCTAGAGTCCCAGACATCACCAGGTTTTGAGTTCCTGTGTCATTTCTGGCTTTCTCCTTTGTCTCTGCTGTCCTCAGAAATGGACTGATAGTCTCCCAGGTGCCTTGTTACTTGTTACTTGATTTTCCCCTTCCTCCACAGTACAGCTTGATTAACCTTTAAAAACACAGACCTTATCAGGGCAATCTCTGCTTAAAATGAATGTGTGATAGCCATTGTCCCTCAGACACAATGGATGGCCAGTGGGTTGGGTCCTCCAGGACATGGGAGTCCTTGTTTCAAACACATTTCTGTAGGAAGCATGCTTTTCCAGTGGAAGGAGCCAGTCATTCCATTCACTATCTTCGAGGACTAGAATAACTGTTAGGTGTTCAAGATACAGTTTAAAAATGAAGCAGAAAAGTTAGAGTGTAGACATAAATAGATTCAAGCCCTATGGGCCCCAAAGATTATATAATGTTGGGGCTTCTTTAAAGAAAATAATAAAACATAAATACAAAATCAGCAAATAAAAACATATTTGAAACAATAAGAGAAATCATGACAAACTACGGGGTTTCAGGTGACTATGGCTTCTTTTGATTTTTTTTTTTTAACCATTAATGCTGGTGATTAATTCCAAGGCCTCAAGCATGCTCTACCATTGAGCTATATACTCTGAGTCCTGAAATCTTCCTAAAAAGTTCACGAGAAATGCTTTCAAAGAAAACCTACTTAATTGGAACCTGGATTTTCTTGCCCTTCCTCCAAATATCTACTGTTCCTGAAAACCTTGACACTTACAGGGGCCTAGAAACATGCTTCATAGTCAGTTTACATCTAAGCATAGTCCGCAGAGTAATGAAATAGCACATTTGACCAGTAAGTGTTCCTTTCCTCTGATGGCATTTTTGTTTACTTCAGAGATGACCTGCTTATTTAAATTGCCCTCAGTTTGTGGATAAGGAAACATGTACACCATGCTACATTGTCATTGGCAAATTTGGGCAATGAAATTCATTTATTTTCACACATGTCTCTGTTATTAGTAAACTGTTCCAAACTGTTGCCCTCCCCTCCAAGTTGTACCTCATCTTTCTCATGGCCCAGATGCAAGTTTGCTTCCTGAGATGGAAATAACACCTTTTCCCCTCATGGAGAAGAGTTTGGATTTTCCACATTTCTTATAGTAACAAAGCTGTGACATGTGTGCAGCGGCGTCTAAGGAAGTTAAGCTTCCGACTTCACTCAGGCTGTTTGCTGGGAGCTTCTCAGATAACTGGAGAGAGGCTCCCCGGGAGAATGTCAGGGAAAGGTCAGGCTCTGGACAGACAACAACCACAGGGCCACAGGGAGCAGATGGGACTGGCAATCCCCTTATCAAGTCCTCACTCTTGGGCTTGGCAGCCAAGCAAATCTTCCAGCTATTCTAACTTGTAGAGAGCGTGAGTCAAATTTAAAATTAGGGCTATTTACAACAACAGCTCACAATTGTATAATACTCATAGTTTATAAAAATTAGTGTGTCAGTCAATATAACAAGATAATAGGGTCTCTATTTAATAACTGTGCATATTAATTCTTACTGTGTGAGACACACAATGAGATACTCCATTTTACCAAGGATGAGACTCTTTGAATATGCCCATAACTCTAAGCTGCTTCTCACACTTGAGATTTGCTAGTGTGTCATTTCAAAATATATCCAAAGGAAGCACAGATGGGGTGAGACAGATGTACCATATCATCTAGTACTAACAAAGACCAACCCTAGTTAGCTTGCTAATCAGAGGTCAGGTGTGTTCAGGATCCTATGACTGTAGATAAGACAGATGGGTAATAAACATCTAATACTTGGCAGAGGTACAGGAGGTCCAATGATCTGATTTATACAGAATCAGTGTATGGCTGTATTCTAACAAATGGAAGTATAAACTCACAATATTGAAACAGTAAAGGAGTTTTATAACCCACCCCAGAAAAAATTCCAAAGTGAGAAAAAAAACCCATCTTTTATCAGTCAAGTCCTTTATTATATGCAACAGACCATGAGTATGGAATTTCACATGTGAGATTGGAAACAGATTTGATAGACATCACGTGAATTTCTAATAAGGGCCATTTTACTTAGATCTTACAATCATTTTAGCAATGACTTCAGTTGCAGTTCTCAATGTTGGCATCACCATTTTGGATCGACACACTCACAGTGCATTGGAAAGAATGATTTGGAGTGTGGGCATGGAAATTTTCCTGAGGATAAATGGTCTTCGTGCTCCTTTAGAAAACCGCAAATCCTGAAGGCAATGATTCCTTAAAGAGAAGGCTGAGACTCTACTGGGAAGAGTAGAAAGATAAAGTCAGTGCCAAAGTCCAGGAATGCAGGGGCTCATTATGTCTGTAATGAGGCAATAGGTGCTCAAAAGCTGTTATCTCTTGAGCTTTCATTGAAAATCATTTTCATTTCCTTTATCATGAAAATAAATATGCCCTTTTTTTCCGTACAGACACACAGCTCCTAGCTGACCTTCACTTGCACAGTTCTCTTGTGATCCTGAGCTCTGTGGCCTTTTGCATGCTTACCTTCTGTCACTTTCTCCTGGCACTCACCTCTGCAGCCCAGCTTTCTGCTTGTTCTCCTGTCTGGAGCTGGCTCTCAAAGACTTACAAAAAGATTAGCCTGCTAGTAACATAATCCTTGCCAATTCATGCCCTTTAAGAACAGGAAACCTTTAATTCTTCAATGTATATGTTTTTGTGACTCTGTTTTATAAATTTAAAAGTGGTGGAAAATTCCTACTCCAAGCACCATGAACATGGCTGCATTAGTCTGGATGAGGGCCCGTCCTTGAAAGCCGCCATCTTCTGCCTTTTAAGCTCTTAGAGTCTCACACTGCTAGCACGAGAACCAAGTACTCTCCTCTGAGCCAAATGAATCCAAGCTGAATTCCCTCAACCAAGCTATAAACAGTATTGCTTGACAGAGAACATTCTTCCTATTGTGTTTTAAAGTGATTTTTATAGGTATGATTTATAAACTATCAAATTAACTTACCATGAGGGTACAAGTCAATGATTTTTCTAGGAAACTTACCAAAAAACAATTTTAAAATATTTCTCTTGCTCCAAAAGATCCCTTGTGCCCACTTGCAGTAGACCCTTGTTCCCAAGCCCCAGCGCCACACAACCACTAATCAGTGTCAAGTCTCTATTAGTCTTATTTAGCTATTTTAAATAACTATAACCATACAGCTTGTGGTCTTCATGTCTGGGTTTTTTCACTTAATCTAATGTTTCTAAAGTTCATCCAATTTATAGCATGTTCACTGATTATATTATATCCCATCTTAGGGCATGCTACACTGTTTATCACATTTTTGACATTTTAATAATTTCCATTTTTGGCTACTATGAAAGATGCTTCTGGATTTCTAGGGAATTATAAATGACAGAAAACTTCGAAGTTGCAGTCAGGAATCCTAGTTTAAGTATTTGCTATCTTAATAACTATAAGTCTTATTTCCTCATATAGAGAGTAAGAGTCACTTTTCCCCTTCTCTTTTCTGTTCTTAGAATAGTTATAAAAATCAAGTAAAATGATACGTAAATTGTTTTGTGAACTATCAAACACAGGAGAAATAAAGGCCTTGCTACTGAAGAAGCTTTCCAGTTGTATTAAAATGGACTAGACGTTCCTCAAGATTCTTTCCATATTCTTGGAATAATGATGAAGCCTTTGGGCTGTAGGAAATATCTACACATTGTTTTCTATGGGCTTGTAGTTCTCACTATATTTCCTTTATCAAAACCTGTTGTTTAGAAAGATGTTAATACCATTCTCTCTTAAATTCATTTGTTTTTAAAAAAATTTGTTGTTGATTATCACATAAAAAGATTGGTTCCTATTGAACATGGGGTTTTCAGAGACTAGAGAATATTGTCAGACGTATATAATTCCATATAGTTGATCAGTGATCAACTGATGATTGAGACTCAATTAGTGTAGCCTCCACCCCACAAGTTAGCCTCTTGGGTGGCTTTAAAGGAAAGAAACAGATAGAGGTTGAGGGATTCTAATCAATCAAAACCAAGCCTAACTAAATGTTAGCATCCTTCAGTCACAGGTGACTAAAATTTATTGCTTCATTAAAACAGTGTTAAACTAACTGGGAATCGACAGCTTTAGGGGTATTTCAAACATACCAGAACATAGATAATTGACCCCTGTGTCATGGATGTATTTAATTTCCACAAAACATGAAAATAGCTTCCCTCAAAGATGAAATGGACTTTGCATCAAACAGAAATAACCAAATACCAGTGTCTTATACTCACTGAATCCAAAGGAAAGGTAATATCCAACATTATGGGCTGCTTCCATGAAGTTTTACCTTAAGTCTCTTTGCAGATCCCTGCATGGAAGTTTAGAAGGTAAGAGCAATGACTGTTTCATTTACTGGAGTCTGAAGCACAGAATGTGAGTTCCTATCCAGTGTCTTTGGAAGAATCACTGGCCTGTCTGGTGTTAGAATTCAGGAGCTCCCAATGCATAGATTCAAATTACTAGACTCTCTCCTGAAAACAGCAAATCCCCAGACATCTCCAACACTCCTTGATGTTATATGATACAGGCCACTGAGGTCAAATGAGTCTACACATCTTTCCCTCTTTCTCCCTCTGTCAATAATTGAAAGATTAGAACTTTGCAAAGCAAAAGAAGCTGGGAATCTGAAGCAGAAGGACCACAAGTTTGAGGCTGACGTAGGCACCTTAGTGAGTTTGAGACTGTCTCAGAAACAAAAGGGGAGTGCTCATGCTGATGGTAGTTCATCGTGAAGGTCCTGAGTTCCCCAGAGCCATAAAAATTAAGGAAAGAAAGAAGGGAAGACAGGCAGACAGACAGAAAGTGAGGTTTTATGTGGCATGGGCAATAGTTTGCTGTTTCTCTCCTGTGAATGCTGTCAAAGAATTTAGTAACGCTGGTAGATGCCACATGTATTCCTAACATTATTTTCTAGATCCTAAGATCTTGACTATGTGAAGCACTGTACTGTAAGTCCAAGGTTCTTGACTTGTAGTTCTGGTACTAGTAACACCACTCTGTGTTAATAACAGTGAGAGTCTGAATTTCACATGTACTTGCTCTGTGTTAAATATAGTGCATTTGTATCTTGTTCAAAATCAAGAAACTAATGATTTAAAATTTTGGTTCAAAGCAGTTCAAAGTCTGTATTTTAAAGAGATTTATTTGCATATTTCTTCTAAGGCAATATAAAGGTAATAAGTATTTATTGTAAATTCTTATGTTTTAAAATTGACAAATGGAATTGTATGTATTTATGGCATAAAATGTTTTGAAATATGTACATATGGTGAAATGGTTAAACTGAGCTATTTAACATATGCTCAGGTAATCTCACATAATTAATCATTTAAGGTGAGAAAACTTAAAATCTGTTCTCTTAACAATTTTCAACTGTACAGTGCCTTGTTATTAGCTGTAATCCCGGTGTATGTACCAAGTCTGTAACTCATTCTTCCCGTCTAACTGACACTTTGTTTCCTTTGGCCAGCATTTCCCTAGTTCCACCTCCCACCTCCAATTCCCTCATAAACACCAGTCTACTTCCTGCTTCTGAGTTTGTGTGTTTTACATTCCACATGTGAGATTGTATCGTAGTTATCCTTCTGTGTTTGGATTATTTCACTTAATACAATGTCTGTTTGAATACAAAATATATGTCCTTGCCTCCTACAGTACATATGACACTTCAATAGCATGACAGTACAATGCATTAGTATGTCATGAATACCTACTTCTGTGTATGCATGACATGTACATATATGTACATAGTCTATTTTATTTAATGCATAATTTTAAATAGCTCTGAATTTTTGTTTAATGATTTTCTGATTTGTTATATACACAAGACTAGTATGATTTCAAGCAAATATTGCGTAGGGATTTCTGGTGAAACATCAGTGATAATAAAAATGTCTGTCATGAAAGACTCAATCTTGTACTTTCCATGCCTTCTGTGTCATCTGTACTGATTTTTCAAAACCCTGAAACAAGTGGGGCATTACCTATGAATACCTGCTACACAGTCTACATTTTTCACATTATTGAACTGTCATTTTATGGCTTGGAAATGTGTCCTCTGGCCGATTAAAATGATTAAACCATGTTCTTTACGAAACATTTGTTTAAGGTATGCTTGAAATTGTTTTGGCCGGAAACACTGGTACTCTTTGATGATGACCAACAGAAAAGATAAAAAAAGGACACTGGAATGATGGCTTAGATCTGCTCTTTTCCACTGGGCTCTCTGTATGATTTAAAACAAGATCCACAGAGACTATCAGAGCCACAGACAGCTTGGCAGCAGGGGAAAATGGCATCCAGACTCCAGCATGTCAGCCTGTGGTGGTTACATTGGCATCACTGTAGAATGTTTGGCTTCGTCTGGGGCTGATTGGGTGGAACAGCTGTTGCCTTCTCCCAGATAAAATGACACTCTTTATGAGAAATAGACTCTTCATTAGATACGAATTAATTCCTCTTTCCATCAGCCTTCTTCAAAACAAAAACACTGAAAAAAATTCGAAATGTGGGGAGCACAAAGTCCCTTTGTTTGGGATACACCAATTGCTGCAGTTCTTAAGGTAGGTGTTTTTACTCTGCCATGAGTGCTAAAAGAACCAATTTCAAAACAGCATGTGCAGTTTATATCTTTAAACCCAAGTACTCTTAGAAAATGTCAGAGTTTTAATGTACTAAGTTTAACATCTGAAGTATCATATAACGGACCTACAGTTACTATTAATTTTTATTTATTCACAGCAACGTTTGCAGGTAACAATACCTTTTAAACATGACTAAGAAAGCCACATAAGAATCAAGAAGTCATGTACACAAAACATTATACAGCTCAAATGAAATACATTAAAGTTTAATTTATGTAAGAATATATCCTCTAGGAAATACGTGAGGTTTAAACTATAGCCCTAGTTAAAGTTTTTAATACTTATGTTCTAAAGATAACTGACACTAGCTGCAACTGAAAAAAATGTATAAACCAGTGAGGTGTTACTAGTAAAAGAATACAGTTAGGCAAGATAAAAATGAAAATATAAAAAAACTATTAAAATCTAAAAATAATAAATTTAGATAAACATATTACTAATATTATCCAACCAATTCAGAAATTCAAAAGTATCATTTCATCATTACTTCACTGATTATTTTTGTCTGGGTCTTAAATAACATTCGTGCTCTAGGGAATGTGTTTGGCCCTGAGGACAGACTGGGAAACAGACAGACACAGAGCCTGCCTTTACAGAGCTTGCAGTCTAGGGGGAAGACAGAGGGATGCAGAGTGTCCTGCCATTCAAGATGAGGAGCATTGGGGGAGGAGCCTCCTGTCCTACAGGAAGCAACATCTCCATGGAGATCTCAGGGTAAGGGTGAGTTTATCAGGGAAAGCGGGGCAGAAAGGAAGTTTCCTTGCAAAGGGAGAAGAAATGCACAGGCTTGAGGTGCAAAAGACTGATTTCTTCTACAGTAGTGGTTCGCATGCAAAGGTTCTCATATAACTCACTGGATCACAGTAAAATTTTCACTTGTCTACGGGGAAATTCAGCAGTGTGGTAAGTGTTTCCAGTACTAAAGCCTTTCAGTTTTCATGTCTCAGTTTACAACATCTTACTTTTTAGCATTCTAAGAAATGATCACTCTTTTATGAAGTGATGGTGATAGTAGATAGCATTTTTAAAAACTAGATGATCCAATTTTAGAATTAAGAAAGCAAAAACTAATCATGTCTAAAACTTTAAAATCTGGGAATCACTATTAAAAGAACAAACCCCTGGCGAGCATATAATTAAAGGGAGGGAAGAAAGAAAGACATCAAGAGATAAGGCTAGGGAGAAAAGCAGGAATTAGATTATGAAGGGCCACCTGAGAACTCTGGACTTTATCCTACAAGAAACGGGAATGATTTTAATGATGTCAAACTCTAGTTACAATTATAAAAGGCAATTCTGGTATTCTATGTATATTGTATGTGTGGGAATGCGTAAGACAGTAGGCAAGCAAGCAGATAAACATCACTGTACGCCCTAGGAAAGAGGAGATCATAGTTTGGTTTAGAAACAAATTGATGAGACTGAGAAGAGAAAGATGATTTCAAGAGATAAACTTAATGGGATGGGTGATTTGTTACAATGGGTGAGAAAATGGGGTGGCCATTGCTGATGTCCAGTTGTTTTCTTTTGCAAAAGGAATCACTCATTGTTCTAACTATTGAAGTAGGGAATACAAGAGAAAGAACCTTTTTCTGGAGGAACACGGTGAGTTTACTTGGGAGCACGTTGAGTTTGAGATGTTTTTTGTGTGCAAATGTCAATTGTGCCATTTGTCTATATAGTTCTTAAGTACATGAGATAGAGCAAGAGCTGAGGATATATGTCTTGGAGTCACCATTAAAATAAATGCAATTATACATACCCCAGAGAAAACATATTCCTAAAGGACTGACAGGATATGAGCAATGGGAAAGAAGACAGAGCGGCCAAGCAGGTAGGAGCACAGCCAAGGAAACAAGGTGTCTGTATAATGAAAACCAGGGAAGGAGGTACCGCTTCAACAAAGCAGCAGCCGACAGTGTCAGGCGCTGTAGGTAAGGATGGGAAGAGATAATGAGAGGTGCTCATTTGATTTAGCAACAAGGCTGTCTGGAGCCTTGCAAAGAGCTGTGGAGGCAGCAGATGTGAAGCCACAGAGTGGGAAACTGCAGGCAGGAAGGAGCTCCTTCACACATGGACCTTTCAAAGACAAATGGATCCCACAACTGGCAGGAGATGTGGGTTTAACGAAGTGGTTAATTGCTTCCTTAAACATAAAAAGTCATCTCTGGTTATAAGGTTATAAGGAGGTTATGGTTATAAGGAGAATTTGGAGGTTTGTAGCAGGGGACAATAATCAATAGAAATTCAAATACAATACAAGATATTAACATCTTTTAAAAGTCAATGTCTTTAACATTCCCATAAGGACAAAATATACCTGTAAGATTGTCAATGGATTTAAATACACATAAGGATGTAAAGTGGTTCCAATAAACTCTCACATTTTAAAATATTTTAGGAGTCACATTTTAAAATATTATTTTAAAATTATGGTAATTTTAGCTCTTGTCCATAGAGATCATACTCTTTAAACAATATATATCTTTGAATAGCTGGTGGTAGAGGAAGCTTCTCCACAGAGGCTGGTTGACAGAGTCGCTGGAGTCCCATAAATCTTCGAATTTTTAACCGACATAAATGCTTCAGTGAACAAGGATTCTCTGAAAGGAATGAGAGGACGGGGGAGAGAACAAGCAAAAATTATGAACATTATTAGTGGATTGACTTGAAAGCTAAAGATTGTTTTAGAATACCATGAATAATGCCATTCTGAAAAGCATGTGTTCATACTTTAACAAAAGAAATTTGTGTGAGTTAACATTCATATTCTAGAATACTCTCTGAGAATGTAAACTCCACAAGGCCGGAGACTTAGTCTGTCTCTACGCCAGGAACAGTCTTGCTCCTCTTGAATATTTAACTAAAATCCATTAAGTGAATAAATGAACTTGATTTAAGAAAGTGAAAGCTCACATTTCCTCCTGTTTAATTACATTTTAAAATTTAGAACTGAATGATACACAGGTACATTTCTTTATTTTCCTACCAATCCATGAACCATCAATACAAATGATTCTATAAATCATTCATGTTCAGCCTGAGGGCTTTTTTCCCCAGGGTCTTACACCTCAATTTTTTATAGTTAAAAAATACTGATTATTAAAATAAATGATGTTAGTCATTATTTTCAATTATTAGTGTGTATTATAATTACAATAGTGGTATAAGATACCAGCAAAGAACTCATGAAAGGGCAGCACAGAACACAAGTTTAGACATAGGCTCTAGACTCAGTCTTGGCTTTGTCATTTAGCATTCATTTGACTTTGGACAAGTTCCTTAATCTCTGTGATTTTAATACTTCCATCTATGAATTGTGGATAACAATGAGACCCTCCTCACAGGGTCATTTGACTATTAAACAAATTAATTTATTTAAACTAAAAGAAAAGCACTTGGGTACATTGTAACATTAAATAAATGTTAACTCTTACTCAGTTCAGTAGTAAAACTGATCACATTTCTGATACATCTGAGAATTTAAACAATCACTCAAGTATTTTTTTAAAATTTAGAACAGTTTTCAAAAATTATCGAGGCAAGATGATTGATACCAAAACAAAGAGGAAGAAAGTCATCCTTATAAAAATGACCCCTATATTTTCCCCAACAATCACACTGCCTTTCCTATATCTGGAGGCATCCTGACATCCTGTGGTGGATCAGGATCATTACAACCAGTAACGCAAGATTCCAGCAACACCTTCCTGGAGGTATTATTAATTAGAATGCCTCTTTCAAGTCACTGGAATTGGGAGTTGTGCAATAAAAACGTAAGTATAATTAATTTTCATTCAGAAGCAAAATATTTTCCACCTAGACTGGACAATAACATTGTAGAAAGAGCCTGTGTTTTGAAATAGGATAGGAAAGGTTTCAAATCTTTGTTATTTGTCTATGGCTATAACTTTGGGAAATTAGTTTGTCTAAGATTCAGCAGCCTTTTTCTCTTTGTGATATCCAAACTGCTTCAATTTTCCACTCAAAAATAAATATAGAGAAACAATTCGCATGCTTAGTTCCATAAGTTATTGTAAGTTAATTTTTCAAAAACTTGCCCCACAGGTCTGAAATAGAAGTTTGCTGGAAACTCCAGAATTTCCCCTACAATCCTTCCAATGCTTCTCTTCTTTCCTGCATAAGTAGCTACTATCCTGACTTGTACAGCAATCATTTCCTTTAGAGTTTCTCCTCCTAGTGGTAATATCTCTATAGCAGAATATGGACATCTTTAAAAATTTTTTGATATGACTTTTAAGGCTGTTTTAAACTGCATGTTCTCCTTTCCATTCTCATTCTTCTAATTTTTTTAATTTCAAAAACAAAAAAGGATAAAAAGATACAGTATTTCAAAACAATAATATGAAATTAACACTCGTTAATATATTGCATATTGTTGTCTTCATAGTTGTTCAAATTACAAGATTTAGGAATGAAAAACTGATTAATCAGTGAAAACAAAAACTGTTCTTTGTGATGAACTGAAAGACATTAGTAGTCCACATATATGTATATGTACATACATATATAATCTTTTCCTTTCTTTCTTTTCTCCTTTCCCTTATCCCAACTGTTCTTTCCTTTTGAGAACTTTCCTTCCCTTTCATTTTCACAATATTTATTGTACATTTTGAATCTTATTTACTGTCTCAGTTTTTTTTAACACTAGGGAGACAATACAATATTTACACACGAGAGTCTGATTTATTTCATTTATGAGTATGGTCTGAAGGTGCATCCATTTACCTATAAAAGACTCAAGTTTATCCTTCTTTATAGCTGAGTAATTGTGCCTTATTGTATAAAAATACCACATCTTGAGGTGTGTCCTGGGTAGTCACCTGGTCCAGAGGCTCTGAACTCCACACAGCCAGGAGCAAGACCCTGACACCCTACTCTGGAGGTATTTCCTAGCTAGCCTCATGGGTCCTGGAGAGTCTCAACTCCATCCAGCCAAGCACAAGGCCACAGTGTCACACTCTGGGAGTGCATCCTGTTAGATACATGGAAGATCCAAGCTCTGCCTGGTCCAGCATCCCAGTGCAGTCGACCAGAGGAATGCTCAGTCAATCTCACAGGTCACAGAGGTACCTAATCCTGTCCAGCCCAGAGAACTACAGCCATCCATCAGAGAGTGATCAGCCCAGCTGATTGGTCCTAAAGATTTTGAGCTCTGCCCATCACAATGCAGGGCATCAGCACCATAATTCAGTGGTGTGCCTGGCTAACCTCGTGGATATCAGAGGATTGAAGCTCTGTCCAGTGCAGTGTTCCAGTGCAATCCATTGGGAGGGTGACTGGCCAGCCACACAAGTCCCAGAGGAAAATAACAACAGCAACAACAACAACAAAAGAGCAAGATGCAGTCTCAGTCCTCCAGCCCACTGAGAACAAACCCAAGAGACACTGAATTGGAAGACATTGGAAACTACACCATTGAACTTTCTGAAATGATAGTAACTGAGGTAAAGAAACAACTCCATGAAGCTATAGGGGAAATCAGAACAGAAATAATTTCCCAGGCAAAAAAAAAAAAAAAAAGAAATGACAAGCATTCTGAAAGAAATATTGAGTGTATCTAAAGAAGATCTAGATAAAAAAAATAGAGGAACATAAGAAAATGATGGAAAGCTGTAAAGACCAATATAAGACAGAATTAGAATGCATGAAACAGATTCAAGGGGATATTCAGGAAATTTAAAATTCCATTGAATTTTTAATAATTTAATAAGCAGGAAAAACTGCTTGCATGAATTTGAAGATATTCTCAAGACCTTAAAGACAGGATGGAAGCTTTTGAACAAGAAAGAAAAGATCTCTTAAAAATAACAAGGGACCAGGAAACAACAATTCAACAGCTACAAGATGATGCAAAGAGAAACAATGTAAGATTTATAGGTGTCAAGAAAAATGCAGAGTCAACACAAAACGACCTAAGAAGACTATTTATAAAAATAATAGCAGAAAATTTTCCAAACATGGAAAAAGAACCTAATATTCAGTTAAGTGAGGCATATAGAACCCAAATTATCCATAAACAAAATAAATCTTTACCCAAACATAATAATTAGGATCTCAAAATTCAGCACAAGAATAGAATACTAAAATCTGTCAGACAAAAGAAACATCACCTATGAAGGAAAGCCTACCAGAATCACAATATATTTACTAACACAAATATTCAAGCTAAGAAGAGCTTGGAGTAAAGTATTTCAGGTCCTGAAAGAAAACAACTTCCAACCTAGATTAATGTACTCTGAAAAACTATCTTTGAAAATTGATGGAGAAATAAGATATTTCCATGACAAAGAACAACTGAAGAAATTTAGGATCACTAAAATAACATTACAAAGAGTACCAAAAGATACTCTAGAAAGAGATAAAGATGACTACAATGGGAAACAAGGCCAGGGATATAACTCAATGGCCTAAGTAAATGTCTGGCAAGTGCGTGGTCATGAGTTCAATCCCTGGTACCAAACAAACAAAATGCAAAGAATAGGAAACAATACTCCATGTGATATGAAACCAGAAAAAAGCAGGAGTAGCTATTCTGTTTTTCAGACAATATGAAATTAAAGAATGATCAAAAGAGATAAAGGAGATCACTACAAAGTTCTTCGGGGAAAATCTGAAGAGGAAGTGATTACAATAGTAAATATATATGCACCAAATATAGGAGCACACAGCTACGTAAGATAAATCTTAATAGACAAGAAAAATAAAATAAAAAATAATACAGTTATAATGGGGGAACTTAACACCCCATTATCACAAATAGACAGATCAACCAAATAAAAAATCATCAAAGAAATAACAGAACTGTATTGTGAACAAATGGATCTAGTAGATGTGTACTGAGTGTGTTCCACCCAACATCAGAATACACATTCTTCTCAGCTGCACATGGGTCATTTTCTAAAGCAGACCACATGATAGCCCACAAAATATGCTTAAGTAAGGGCCAGAGATTTAGCTCAATGGTGTAAGCGCCTGCCTGGCAAGCACGGGGTCATGAGTTTGATCCCTGGTACAAAACAAAACCATACAAAACAAAACAAAACCATGCTTAAGTAAATGCAAAGGAATTGAAATAATCCCATGCATATTATCCATTCTGCAATAAAATTGGAAATTAATGACAAAATACTCCACAAAAACCACATAAAGACATGGAAGTAAATGATACCCTCCTAAACAACAGAATGAGTCACAGAAGAAATTAAAGAAGAAGTGAAACAATATTTACAATTGAATGAAAATGCAAATACAACTTATCAGAACCTGTGAATGAAAGCAGTCCTCAAAGGGAAATTTGTAGTGGTAAATTCCCACACCAGGAAAATGGAAAGAACACAAATAAATAACCTAATGCTACACCTCAAACTTCTAGAAAAAGAAGAAAAACTCAAGCACAAAAAAAGGAAGAAAAATCAGAAAAGAAATTAATGCAATGGAAACTAAGAAAACAAAGTAAAGAATTAATGAATCACAATGTTGGTTCTTTGAAAGAATAAATAAAATTGATAAACCCCTAGCCAACCTTATCAAAAAGAGGAAAGAAAAATCTCAAACTCATGTAATAAGGAATGAAAAAGATGAAATCACTACAGACCTGTGGAAATACAGAAGATCATCAATACATACTTTGAAAACCTTTATTCTCATAGGTTCAGTAACACAAAAGAAATGGACAGATTCTTAGAAACATGAATTATCAAAGCTGGATTAAGAAGATGTAAAACTGATGAATAACCCAATTTTAGTTAATGAAACTGAAAGTGTAATTAATATCTTACCAACAAAGAAAAGCCCACGTCCTGATGGATTTATGGCTGAATTCTATAAGAAATTTAGGGAAGACTTAATGCCCACACTCCTCAGGCTCTTTAGTGAATTTGAAAGGGATGCAAGTCTCCCTAACTCATTCCTTGTGGCAAGTATTACCTTAATGCCAAAACCAGAGAAAGACCTAACCAAAAAAGAGAACAATGGGCCAATCTCCCTAGTGAATAGAGATGTGAAAATTCTCAATAAAATATTGGCAAATACAATGCAACAAGTTATCAAGAAGATTATATACCACAATCAAGTAGGATTTAATCTCAGGAATGCAGGGGTGGTCCAACATATGCAAATCAATAAACATAATACACCATATCAACAAAGTGAAAGACAAGAATCATATGACCATCTCAATAGATGCAGAAACAGCTTTCAATAAAATCCAGCACTGATTCATGATAGAAACTCTATGGAAAATCAGAAAAGACAGGCTTTTTTCTCAATCTAATAAAAGCCATCTACAACAAACCAAGAGCCAATATCATACTAAATGGACAAAAACTGAAATCTTTTACTCTAAAATCAGGAACAAGAAAAGGATGTCCATTGTCTCCACTCTTATTCAACATAGTCCCGGAAACTTTTTCTAGAACAATTAAACAAGAGAGAAGAGAGAGAGAGAGAGAGAGAGAGAGAGAGAGAGAGAGAGAGAGAGAGAGAGAGAAAGGAATAAGGATAGGAAAGTGAAATGTTAAATTATCATTATTTGCAGATGATACTCTATAGAACACTGCAAAACCTCCACCGAAAGACATCTAGATGTAATAAGCAAACTGAGTAAGGTTACTGGACACAAAGGCAACACTCAAAAATCAATAACATTCCTTTACACAAACAACAAACTCATTGAGAGAGTAAGCACTATAGCATCCAAAAAGATGAAATACTTAGGAATCAATGTAATGAAGTAAAAGATCTAGATATTGAAAATTACATTAATCTGAAAAAGGAAATCAAAGGGAATTTCAGAAAATGGAAAGATATTTCCAGTTCATGGATAGGAAGAACAAACATTGTGAAAATGGCTCCTTCTCCCAAAATTGTTATACAGATTTAATGCAATTCCAATAAAAATACCATTTGCATATCTCACAGATCTAGAGAAATCATTCCTAAAATTCATTTGGAGCCAGAAGAGATCTAGAAAAGCAAAGGCAATTCTGGGCAACAAAGTCAAGGCAGGACATATCACATTCTCTAACTTGAAATTACATTACAAAGATACTGTGATAAAATCAGCATGGTATTGGAATAAAGCAGACGTGAAGATCAATGGAATAGATTAGAAGATATAGCTACAACTACAAATACACTCAGCCACCTTTTCTTTAGTAAAGGGGCCAAACATGTTTACTAGACAAAAGATGGGCTCTTTAATAAGTGGTACTGGAAAAATTGGTTCTCCATATGCCAGAAACTAAAACTAGACCCACGTCTATCACTATGCACTAAACTAAAGGTTTGATCAGATTTAGGTTTGATTTCTTCAGCAAAACTGTTCTTTCTTCAGGGACCACATAGTATGACATTTAACAGCTGCTAATTTTTAATGCCTATAACCATTAGTTTATGAGGGAAACAAAATGGTCTTTTTAATTTTTAGTTTTTTAAAATTTTTATATGAAATACTTTTACAGAAGGATGTTTTATCTCATCTACTCTTTGGTGACTAGTAGCACAAAGAATATGCAACTTAAATATTTTCTTTTATTAGCTTCTTAGATAAATTTATTTTCTATCATCCTTTGAGGTGACTAGTTTTTAAAAATTCATATTTTAAGATATGTTGAGTATGTTTCAAGTAACTGAAGTAATTATCCATTTGTAACTTAAATTTTGGCCAGTGGGAGTCTCTTGAAATTGACTCCTGAATTTTTTAAAACATGATTCTGATAACCTTTGAGAGTATTTTTACTATCTGATATAAAAGTTGTTCCATATTCTGCTTGCCCATTTTATTCTTCAGATCTGGAATCATTATTTCTCTAAGAAACTCTTGCTTCCTTTGTAGAAGTTGGCATTTCCAAGTCAAAATTTGTGTGCTTGTGGGTTCATTGCTACTGGTTTCATCACTATTTATAAACCTTTCTGTAGACCTACACACATACAGTTACACACACAAGGTACATTTAAACATATAGGCAAAATAGGTTACAAATTCATATGGATACTTCCAAATTAAATGAGGACTTTTAAAAAGAGTTTTTTAAAAAAAAATATCTACTATATTGGACCTATATTTCCTTTCTTCTACATGGATGACCCTGAACCTCAAGGATATGAAGCATAATAAAATTAGAATAACCCTCATTCTCAGCATAACAAAATCAAAATTGTGTGACTAGCAGTATTTTAGAATATTTTAAATGAATATATATTTATTGGTAAAATTATTTGCTCATATATCAATATTTAAAAATAAACATTTGTGCCATGTCTGTGTTACCAGAGTATAACCAGTGCATATTTTTTGTATCTTTTCCCTTTTAACTCTTAGTACTGGCATTGTGTTCAGTGTTAGTACTATTTAATACTGGTCATTATGTTGATATCTTTCTAGTCTTTTGAGGTTGCTAAAGATTCTTTCTTTCTTTCTTTTTTTACTTAGAATTGAATTCAGGACCTTGCACTTTCCAGGCAGGCGCTGTGTTGCTGAGCTGTGTCCCTGGCCCTAAAGACTGTCTCTTAGTGGATTCTTCAGTTGGCAATCAGAGGAACAAATATTTCATGAGTCCTTGCATGCTGAAAATCTTTTCCCTATACGCTGTTACACATTCTCAGCTCACATCTTCTCTGGGTAGTTTTAAGTGTATTATTTCATTTTTTAAAGGCTAAAGTGCTGTTATTGAAAAGTTTAACACAAATATATGTTAATCTAAGTGTTTTTCCTCATAAGTCAGTTGTTCTTTTTACCTATCTGTTTAAAGGATACTGTAGTTGGAATTTCAAATCTTTCTTTTTTATTTTGGGAAGTCTTTTTCTTGAAATTTTAAAAATTGCATTTGTTTGGTTTTCTGTATTTTTTAAAAAAGAATTCTATATATAATTCATATGTTGACTATTATTTCTCTTCAATATTTATTAGTCTTTCAAATCCTTTTATCTATTTCTTCACTTCTATTTGATTTTTAAATTTTTCTTTCATTTCATCTTCTGTCTCTTAAGCTATTGTGTATTATTAGTTCTTGGTTTTCTTCTAGTTCAGTCTTCATACTTGAAAATATTACCATCTTTTATTTTTAATTTCTTCCTAGTGCTATTAACTCATTCCTGAATTTTCCTAATTTTGACTTGTTCTGTTTTTTTTTTTCACGAATCATTTTCCTATGCCTTTTAGCTCATATTGAAATAGAAAGTTTTAATTTTGATCTTTAATTTTGATTTTATTTTTCTGGTGTATTTTTGTGTGTGAGGATACTATTATATTTCTCTACTTTTTCTTATAACTAGATGACATTTGATGGTGTTACTTGATCATTTTTATGTGAATTCAGTTTTATTAAATTTTTAGAAAAATGGTCAAGATAGCTCTTCTAAATTAACAGAGCATCCTACTCTGTTTTTTTTTTTCCTCCAGCAATTCAAAATTGGGTGACTTGGGGCTGGGGATTTAGCTCAGCGGCATAAGCACCTGCCTTGTAAGCAGGCAGTCCTGAGTTCGATCCCCAGTACCGATTAAAAAGAAACACACACACACACACACACACACACACACACACACACACACACAAATGGGTGACTTGTTCTCTGAAACACCCTGCTTTCATTTACCACCTCATCTTTATATAGACTCTCTTTTGTTCCTGTCCTGCTTGATTTTGATTTCTCGAGCCAGGATAGCTTCTTTCCACAAAAGGAGCTCTAAACTTTGCTTCAAGAATCCATAGGGTCTAGACTGTTTTGTAATTCTCTATAGTCTTTTATTATTAATAATAATTTAGTTCCAAAAATTTCTAAATTTATTAAGTATTTTTAATACTGTTGACCCTGTGCTATGTATATTACACATATTCTCTCTTTCTCTCTGCCCCACCCCCACCCTTTTCTGGTGATAAAACAAAACCCAAAAGGTATGATCAGCAAGTGTTCTACCAGTGAGATACAGTCTTAACACCATGCATTATCTCCCTAAATCCTCACAAAAGCAGTATGAGGTAAATGCTAAGCTAGCTCTACTGTGCAGTGGGAAAATCAAGGCATTAAAAAGAATGACTAATTTTCTTAGTTACACAAGTATGATTGTCTTGGGTTTTGGTACAGAAAATAAAAACTTCTCCACTTGGAGAAACAAAAATGATAAATAAATTGAACATATCAGTTCCTTCAATCACAGTGTGGACAAAATAAATTATAAATTCTACTAGGCAAGGCCAAAATTCCTTCTCATCCTAGATCTATCTGATTCTAGAGCTTATATCATCACCTAGGATTTCTGTTTCAGTTGCTGTAAATCTCATTCATCACAGAACTCATTCCATGGGAATGACTGTTTTAGGTATAAGTGTTAGATTACTTAAATGTCATGTAATGGTATACAGTAACTTTTTTTTTTTTTTCCTTTTTATCGGTACCGGGGATCGAAGTCATGACTGCTTTCAAGGCAGGCGCTTATGCCGCTGAGTTAAACCCCCAGCCCCTCTACAGTAACTTTTAAACTCTATGAAATTGGTGTCCAAATAGGTTTTGGAATCTTTCTTAAACTTGTAATCTGCATAGAAAACACCTCTAATCTATGACATTTTTCTAGGTTCTACTTGTATTTAGAGTAACTGAAATTTACTTTTAAAAAAAACTTCTAATGTTTAATTTTTTGTAGTTCCGGGGATCAAACACACGGTCTCACACTTGCTAGACAAGCACTTTACTACTGAGCTACACCACCAAATTCTCTTGAAATTTTTATGACTCATTTGCATGATTATAGTTAAACTTTCACCTAGAGCATACAAAATTCATTACCTGTTATACAAAGCCTTTATTAGTCCAAATTTGTCAGTAAAAACCTGAGAGAAAGCTTGTTATCAAGAACAATTCCAATCTTTTTCTTTCATTCATTTATTTTTTAAGTATTACTGAGTATTGACTACTTACAGGGCATTATACTAAACCTTGAGAATACAAAAATGTTACCTGTCTATGCCCCCATGGAGATTTCAGTCTAGATATTATATAGTATTATGGAAATTAAATGTTAAAATATGAATCCCAGTCAGAATGTTAATAAAGCCATGTATTATTACACAATTCAAGAATTGGAAAATATCAAAAAAACTTCAAAATTTGTTTTTTACATCAAAGAAATGTTAAACATAATTTTTACAAATTCTCTAGATAATTCTAAATAGAGAGGAGAAGCACTAAAAATATCAAAGACATTAAGAAAGTTTTTATGTACATTTTTATTTTTAAAATTGTAGGTAAAATATTTGTTTTTACCCAGTATTTTGCGTATTTCTGGCCATTCTCTCTGTACTTCCAGTGCAGACTTCAATTTGGCACACAGAGGGACATAATCCATGTAATCAATTAATACACGAACAATGCTGCCTACCAGGTGTTTCATCCAAGGAACTGTAATAAACTCACAAAACTGAGATAATTGATAAATTCAGTTTAGTAGTGTTCTTAATAGACCACAAATTTGTCACACCCAATTTTGTTAGGAAAAAACATACTCTGTCTTTTTATAGGAAATAAAAGATCCCTACTATTAATGAACAAAAATGAAAAATAATTGATTTGCTTGTTCCTGTGAACCATTAGCCTTGGAGACTGGCATGGTTTGTGACCATACTTAACATCATTTGGAATAATCATGTTTTTACCCATCTGACCCCAACAGTCCACTGAATAAGCATTAAGTGATTAATTGCACACATTTTAGATTCTATATTTTGTTTCCAAGTCAAGGAAAAAGAACATTTTTGTGGATAACTTTATATTTATGTCCTTGTATTGCAAACAAAAGAAAATTAAGAAATGCATAAAAATTAGTTAATTTTTTTTCTTAAAACATGTCTGAGTGAAAGTTTATGCATTAGGCTGCAGACTACAAATGCTTTTTAGTCCATAAAACATCTTCAGGAAAAGCGTATTTTAGGCCACAAAACAAACCTTAACAAATTTAAGAAGGTCAAAACTATGTCAGTATCCTTTTGAGCACAGTGATATAAAGCTAGAGATCAACAATAGGAAGAATTTTGAGAATTTTACAAGTACCTGAGCATTAAATAACATGCTCCTTAGCAAACAATGCATAAATAAAGAAATCAAAGGGGGAAAACCAAAATTAAACAATTTCCTAAGGCAAATATAAGAGTTAGGATAATGACCTAATACACAGAAGAAAAGGATGTAACTCACCGGGTTGTCTTTTATTACACAAGATGTCCATCCTGGCAGTACCTCTCGCTCCATCTCAGACCACACAAATGAATTTCCAAAGATGTCCCCATGCATGCAGTCAAAGCACATCTCCACCTGATAGCCATTATTCAACAACAGCCTCAGCATAACTTCATCATTTAGGGCATACTGAATGGCACTGGGGAAACGAGTGTCATTCACATGCATAAAATAGCAATTGACATTAGCTCCGTGTGAGAGAAGCAGCCGGACAATTTCATGATTATTGGCCCTCACTGCCACAAGGAGACAGTTGAGGGGATCCAGGTTTGGGTCTGCACCTGCAGCCAAAAGGACTTCTGTGCAATGGATGTCATTATTAGAAACGGCAAAGTATAATGCAGTCTTCCTCTCGTCATCATAGCTCTTGGAAATATGATCAGCAAGTAGGATGTTGACATCAAAACCACTTTCAATGAGCAGTTCTAGGCACTGTGAATTCTGTCCATCTGCAGCTGAATGAACTGGAGTTAGCCCACTTTTCCGAATTGCATTTTTGGATGTTACTGGGATAAGATATTTCAATGCACTAAAACAAACAAACAAATAAACAGCTCTCAAACATCCATATGACATAAAGAGAATTAAGAAGCTAAATAAACTGTTTTCCTTGCTAGAAAATGAATGTGATTTGTTTAGTTTCTCTTATTTTTGTACTGAAATACTTAACCTTTGTCCATAGAAGTCCTACTATTTAGTGTGATATGATTTAGTTCAGTTTTGATTATCCTCCTTGTTCAAATACTCCTGGGGAACATGCTGGATCTTACATGTTTGGCTTTAGATGCGACTCCTCAGGACTCCTCTCCACCTTCCAATTCTTCTCTAAATGATATAATTTTTATTAGCTGATGGTATTTGACAAAAATATTTTGAAAAGCTCTTCTGATGGCATTCAAGACATCGTCATGATCTTGCCAATTAGAACTATACTGTCATAGGAAGTGTGAGATGGAATCAAACTTGGATATCATTTGAAATAAAACCTGTTTTTTAACAGAAGAATAAAATCTCTAGGGTGAAATGATTTGGCTAAGATCACACAGTTACATGTAGAAATTAGACTTTGACCTTAAGATTCATATTAATTATTCCTTGTTAACTGCCTCATAAGCATTCAATTATTTAATTATAATCTGTCTCTTTCCATATAACTTGTAATTGAATTTTTAGTCAAAATGTCTTTATTATTTCTTCAGACTTAAATGAGTCCAATCAAGTAACTGACTACAGCTTATGTTTCTAAGTACATGTGATATTTACTTGTGAATTTCACACTTGACTAACCAGTTAGACATGCATAAGAGCCACAAGCAAAGACAACTTGATCTCTTGTGCCTAATTCAGGGCTACCATGTGTGAATTTATGAACACTGGGAGGAAATCCAGGTAAACTTTAACAACATGTCACTTAGCATCAATTAGGCGTCATTAGCTCCTTAACACAGCCAGTGTGACCACTGAAAATGATAAAACATAACTACTTGAAAGTTTTTGAGGTTATGAAATATGTTTAATTGCATAAAACCACTTCTTATGGTATTTAATATAGTGACTGGTGTATTGATAACACATGATTTTAAAATGCATTAAATAGTTGTATGGGAATAAAGAAATCTAAATTTATAGTGAAATTTTCTATTCAAGAGTAAATTTACCTCATACTATAATATTCTGAAAATTCTAGGAAATAGTTAGAATAACTTAGGATGTTGTTACACATTTTAATCTTTGTCAAGGGCAAATTTTTAAAAACTCTGTAGCCTTCTGTTACCACGTTTTTTTTTTTTTTTTTTTTCTTTTCTTTTTTTTAATTTTATTTAAGGAGAAAAGAAAAGAAAGAAAAAAAAACAGTGAAGGGGTACAAGTTATACAGATTTACAGGAGAAAAAAATGCGCAGTAGGCAATCACTAGTTAATGGATTACATATTGCCATCTTAGAAATAATTGTTCAAGTCACAAAATTAAAGCTTGTAGAGTGGACATTCCAACAATGATACTGCAAACAGTTCTGTTCAATGATCCAATAAAACTCTGTGATATCATTTTCTATCTTATACATTTAAATATACATGCAGTTATATAGTTTAGAGCACTTTCTTTTCCTCTCTTTTGTACAATGACTATTACACATTTTGGGTTTCATTGCTCCCACGGTTCTTATTGCTTTTTTGGAAGAGAGTAAAACCAAATGTGACATAACAGAACAGAATCGGTGTTACCACGTTTTAAAATAGACATTTTTGAGCAGCTTGTACAAAATTCTCAATTATAACTTATTCCATCTAAAAGAGAATAAAAGAGCATTTCTTTTCACTATTAAAGTAATATAAATTCATTTTGTGCAAATAAAAGAACATAAAAAGATAAAAGAAAATTAAACAACTTTTAAGCATTTAGATACACAACTTATGAGTATTTTGCCCATTTCTCTGTGGATTTGGGGCAGCATCATATATAGAGGGATGTAGGACTATGCTGTCCACACAATTTTGCATTGTTAGGGTAAAGTTATCTCCCCTTAATGTATTACTCACAGGTAATGTCCCTCGTAGGCAGCGCGGTGTATGGGGAGATGCCCTGCTCTGTTGGGTACGTTTCCACTTCCTCCATACTCCAGCAGGAGAGCAATGCAGTCGGGATTACCACCTCCTGCTGCCTCGAACAACACCGATGCCCCATCATCCGCCAAAGCAAACACATCACCACCTGGCGGTATATCATGTGGCACAGGGTGACTGAACAGCATTGTTTAGATCATCTCTTTCAAAACAATCTGTTGCTTTCCTTTCTGGTTAGAACTCAAAATTAAACCAACGAATTGATTTCCACAGTGGACAAATGCTTCCAGAAAAAGGAATCGTTCAACTTTTAAAAAATAGTGAAAATATTTAAAATTTTATCTACTTCAATAAGTCTTTATTGATTGCAGAGTATGTAAAAACAGTATGTGTGACTGCAAAATGCATGAAATTTGACTATTAAGCATACTAGGGAAATGAAACAAAATGTCATCAGAGAACACGAATTGTATGCACTCCAGCAATATCAGTTCTAGGGAACATAGTGCAAGGGGAAGAAGACTGTATGTGAGTATGGCTACTACTTCTATACATCTACACATCTGCATCTCTAGGTGGAGTAATACATATTATTTTACATGGATCTTTTATGTATAGATGAGGCTACAGTGAGACACTTTAAAAATCGATAGCTTATTCCCTATAAATGCCACTTGGGGTTATGGGATTGTAACCTTCATTTATGGTGAAGAAACAATAGGTAAATTTTTAACATTTTGAGTAGGTGGCACTGTAGAGTTTTAATTTAAAGTGATTATCCCACAACATATTACTCATGGATAATATCCCTCATAAGGATCATGGTATATAGGAAGACGCCCTGACCTGCTTTTTTCTTTTTCTTTTTCTTTTTACTCCCTCTATAGGAGAAAGGGGTAGAAAGGCAGCAGTAGGCAGCAGAAACCAGTTTATGAATTAGGTGTCTTAACTCTTGGTTGTAGGTTACAGAAAGCATTTTCAGGGTTTAAGTGAGGCAAGGAAACAATTTGTTGAGAAAAATTAAGGTAATACTTAATGAGGAAGTGTTTCAAATGATTGACTCTAAGTTTTAATGAAGGGTATTCCAGAGGAGGGCAAGGATCTGATCCAACCTAGACAGAGGGCATATCCGGTATATCTGGGAATACTGCATCTACTTTGGCTGGAATACGAGGATCCAAGCTAGGAACAGTGAAACATAAACCTAGGAAAACAATTCAGATGACTGTTTCAATGGAGAGCATCCTTGATTGTAGTGTGTGGCACTAGGGAGACTGGAAATCTGGAGGATCATGAGGAAATAGTTATACTGGTCCAGAGAAGATGTGGGAGATGCTAAAATTGGCAGCTGGATGGAAAGGTGAGAACAAGAGACTTTTTAGGGCTTTGTAACTAATTGAATTGGAAAATAAAATGATGGAGGAATTAGAGATAAATCCTGGCTGAGGTATATTATTCTACTGGGATGTGGGAAAAGAGGAGGAATTCAGTGTAGGTAAAGATATAGATGAGACCTGTGTAGAAACCAGGCTGTCTCTAGACAAAATAATCAGAGCTGCGTTTGCAGATCTGTTGGCTGTAGTATGCGGAGTTTACAGAGAGGGCAGGCTATTGGTCTGAGTGCCTCATGCTCAGGTACATGCCAGGGTGGAAGAGGAGCCCGAGAGGAGAGGAAAAGAGGAGAGTCCCAGAGGCAGGAAAGACATCAGGGAAGTGGTCATTCTTTTTCACATACCTTTATGGATTAGATGTTCCAAAACATCGCAGTGACCATACTCTGCAGCAATACCTAACGGTGTGACTCCAAATCCATCTCTCAAGTGGACATTGCCTCCGTGGTTTAGTAGCAGAGATATGATATCTTTTCGGCCTTGCTTGGCTGCTTCATGCATTGCTGACCATCGTTTTACACAGGGTTGGTCAAGGCTGGTGTTATGTTTAATCAGAGTAGATACCATGTCAAAGGAGCCTTTTCTAACAGCTTGAAGATGATTTTTAAAAAGAACAGCCAATAGTAAACATATTAACATGAAAAACCTACATAGTATTATTACCCAAATTAATATCAAAATAGATATTAGCTATTTCTTATTGTATAAAGAGTTGTATATTATATAAAGAGCACTGTATTTCACATATCCAAATTTCTACTTGTGAAGCACAAATACTCGGGATCACACTATCTTGGATCGAACTCACGACTGCCTGCTTGCAAGGCAGGCACTTATGCCACTGAGCTAAATCCCCAACCCCACAGTATCTTTTCTTTAAGGCTCAGAGGGTGGCAAGAGTTTCACAGAAAATGCTGATCACCAGGACAGAACATTGTGTGTAGTCTTTCCAAACTTCAATCTGTTTACTAACAAAGTGAGGGGATTGGGTTGTATAAGTTTATATATGCAGCATGCTAGTACAGTACCTAGTACATAACAGGAGGTCAGTAAATTATTTGTATCATTTTATCATTCCCAGAAACTTGGAACTCCAAATATGTACAATGCTTATGAAGTACCCCCCCCCCCCCGCTCTGAAATAGGTTATGTTTTTGTTTTTCCCTACCAACAACAGCAGTAAGCACTGCATGGACTTTTCTAAGCTTCCATGGAGACCTAACAATAGGATTGTGAAGAATCTAAGCAGGTCAGCTGTTCTGAATGAATGAAGTATGTGACAGTTAATGACTAAACCAGGTGTGTCTCTGCTCTGTCCCCCTTCTTGTCTCTAATGGTTGAAACCATACCATTAAGAGCCTCTTTCTCTTTTTTGTATTATTAGGAGGTTGCCTCTGTTAAGATGTAAATACTTCCAGAAGGTAGAACACATCTTTTCCTTATAACCAAGTAAAAGTTTTAATAAAAAACAAATGTTAGAGGTCCTCATCATTCATTTATTCTTCATTCATTTATTCAATCTGTTCTCGGACAAATGGCTCTTTCTTGGGTAAGAATGACCCTCTAGAGAAGAAGCCCAGGCTGTCTTCTGTTTGAAAAAACAAAACAAAACAAAAAACAACTCAGCATGGACCTTACTGGGAAAGCCAGGAGGATATTGTGTGTGAGATTACATACAACATGCTGCTCAGGAAGGAGACAGAATTCAGAAAGATCTATGACTAAGGAGAGAGAAATGACTCCAAATGTGTGGTGAGGGTGAAGACAAATTTCGCCGCCTTCTTTTGCATGCAAGTTCCAGTTTCCCCCTTGTTTACTGTGGAAAGTAGAATGTGTTGACAAATGCCTCTACCTGAACCACCCATCTGCTACTGGGAGCTCTAATTGCAGTGAATTACCTCATCCTAGCTGTGTGACTGCAGAGAAAACTCCAAGCAAGCCAAATGAACTATGAAAAGTATGTCCTCATTTATCTCCTTTCCTTTTATAATTGGAAAAAAGTATTAAAATGAGTCTCTTCCCTCGTGATCTGTTTTTTTGTTTCACTGTAGAATATATTGAATAACAATAATCTTTCTTCATTAAATAACAACATATGGAAGCCATCTTCAACTTAAATAATTCCTTAAAAATTAAAATTCATTTCCTATTTAATTTTTGGGAGCCAAGGACATATTTTCAAGAGAAATAGAACAAATTATGGAAAACGTCTCCCATGAAAACCTATAAAAACCTTCTTAAACAATAAGTGACAGAAATAATGAAAACTATTAAGGCAGTTTTGAAATAATACAAGTCATTAAGTAAAATGAGAATTAAACATTTCTGAGGCTTTATATATAAATTACATATATTTTAATTCTTTAGAATTTAAATTTCCAAAGTTCAGAATTCTTTAGTATAGTATTCTTTAGAGTGTTTTCATAAACTTTCTAGTTTTTCAGTTTTCAAGTCTATATCTATAATAGCAAATGCTTAAAAATTATCAAGTTTAAATTGAATTCGGAGAATGATACGGGTAACTTTGCCTAAATTGTAGGCCCTTTCAAACATTTATAGTTGATTGGCTTTCCTTTTTTGCTATAAATTTGTTATTTTATTTCTTTTTCTTGATATATGTTCATTGTTCATGTGACTTATTTATTATCTATTAATGATTCTCTGAGTCACAGAACAGACAGAGAAAAGAGATTTTTTTGAGGTATCTGGACAAGGACTGGAAGATTGAAAGTGTAGACAGAGTTAAGAGGATGTGTACTGATTTGTAAGAAAGAAAATGTCAGAAGTGAAAAGGAGTCTTGCGTCCATGGAGGAGGAAGTGATGTATCCATGAGGAAGGTCAGGAAGGAAGGAGGGGAGAGGACCGGGATGTTGTGCCAAGCAGTTTCTGAATTTCCTCCTCCCCATGCCGGGCTCCACTGGCCAGGATAAGCTTGTGTATCTCAAACTGAATAAAGTGACACCACGCCTTGATAGGTGGACAGAGATGAGTGAAAGTAGAAAAGGCCTTGGTAAGGGTCAGATCACCACAAATCAGACATCTACCATTCAGCAAGTAACTGTGCATCATGACTGTGATACATCAAAGTACCCTAAGTAAGAGCCACATAGCTGAGAAGGAAGATGGTCACTAGAGGGACTCAAAGTAATTATTGGGCTTTTTGGGTTTTCTTTAGTCATCTATGGATATTCTATAAATAGATACAAAGATGACATCTGGCTAAGAAGAATGTTAAAAATGGAATTATACAGAAAAAGGAACAATATTTTTCCCCTTTCTAGCCTCCCCCTGTAAGTTAACAGACTGTTTCTGGCATATTTCACACAATAATTCTGTATTTGTCAAGTGAATTGGTTTACAATTCTGAAAATGTGTCCATTTTGCAGGAATCAAATATTACCTGTAAAACATCAAATTCATAGATGTTGTTGCAAATATCCATGGCATGTTTTTAAATAACACTACAGAGCATATTACTAATGATAAATAACTCAGAGGTGGGTATTCCACTTAGTTTCTGTAGAACCAGCCTAGGAAAAGAGCTCTGAGTTATCAATGAAAGTCACAGTGTTATTGTGCCACACAGTCTGGTTAATATGTACACAGAGGCTACAATCTGTTCCTTAGAATTTACATTACCCCTTTTCCTTTCAGGAATAGAAACTCCCAAATGTTAGCTGTTACAGATCATCCAGGTAGGAACTAAGTATCACAACCTCCCTTAATTGTTGGGGGAACATAATCTGCACTAAAGCAATATGAATGGAACTACTGAGGGCAATGTCTAGGTCATCTTCTTAAATTGGAGATGTGTTCCCAGGGCTTTCACTCTTCTCTTTTCTGCTTGCTTCCTAGGAAATGGGGACATTTGGAGCAATCTTGGAAACTTGTCGTCAACCCTAGACCTCTGAAATGTGATTGAAAAATGACTTCTTTTAAACTCATTATTTTCTTGCTTTATGTCTTCTTTTGTTTTTGGTAAAGAAGATTTGCTAGTACCATACCTATCATAACTCAATTGTTTGTTCCAATCTAAATTTAGGAAGGCTCAAAACTCTGACAAAGGGTGAGAGCAAGGAACAATCAGCCCAGATTGACATTACACTCCCCATCGACTTTCATGTCCTTGAAGACCCAGTTCAAAGAATTTAAGGTGTTTAAAGTCACCACAGATTTATTGCATTTTTATGTACCTAATTCACTGTGATATATTTTATAGCATTTACAGCACAATTTTTTTTTTTCATTTGAATCATATGTAGCTCTCCTACTAGATTAGTGATGGAGAACTTTTTAGAGCTTTCAATGATACAAATTGCTTGCTCCAGGACAGGTACCATAAGTTCACCACTACTGTTGGACTTTTTGAGGGAGATTAGTCCATTCATCTTTACACCCAGGCTGCCCAGCACACCGTCTTGTTTAATGTAACTTCTCAATGCATTTTATTGTATTGAGGTTGCTTAATGCATGCCATCAAATGAAAATATTTTGCTAATGTTATAACTTCTCAAAAAGTTTTTAAATCACAGTGTCACAACTAGGATAGAAACCCACAGATCTCAGACATCAAAGTCCAAATTCTTCCTCCATCATCTTATAGTCTAAATAAAGGAAATATCATCTCTGTTCATTGTGTTAATCTCATCTCTTCTTTCTGCTTCCACAAATAGTCCTATCAATTCTTACTGTTCCACAAATTGCAGGATTCTGAGAAGAAGCTGATTAATGATACCTTCAGATTTGCATCCTTCCTTGATTGTGTCACAGTTGTGTCACCCTCACAATTTCCAAGATCTGCATCTGTTTCTCAGAATTCGCTGTTTCTGCTTTGTTCAGTTTTGTCTGATTGTTCTGCTGTGGATCTGTTATCTTTGGAGTCTCTAGTCTTCTCTTTCTTTTGGTTACATGTTGCACACACAATCCTCTTTCCAACTGGATTCTACCTAGAGAGTTCTGTATTCATTTAGACTTGACATCTCTGATCTGATTAAACTAGTTCAGACTGCTCCTGATTTACTGCACTCTCTATAGTTGAGATGTATCTATCTTACTACAGTATGTAGCTATTTTCACATATGTCTTTCCAGGACTACAAAGCAAAATCACAAGGTGGATGAAAGGCGAGTTAGAGAAGAAGTTCAAAGAATGGAAGGAACTGATGTTACATAACTTTAGCCAATACTCAGTGGTTTCCAATAAATACTTATTAAATATATTGAATATTTGTTATTTATTTCAAACTAAGTAAGTTTTAGGAAAAAATATCATTTACCGATCAAAAGAGGTGTCTCTCCTTTATCATTTTTGGTGTTGGGACACACTCCCTTTTCTAATAAACTCTTTACATTTTCCACCAGACCAGCTTTGACTGCCAAAGTCAAGGGTGTTTCTCCGTCACAGGTCTTGAATTCCCAGAGTGTCTTAGAGGATGCTGAAATGTCAAAGAATTGTGTTGAAAATTTTCAAGTATTTACTTAAATGATATTGCATAAATCAGAATAACTCAATACTACATACATCACATTGAACAGTAATTGATGATAGATGGAGGACTAAAAAGGACATACGAAAAAAAATTCACCAAATAATGGTGAGGATAAATAAATGGACATGGACTTGCTAATCAAATTGACAGCTAAAAACCAACATATAGCTGATTTTTAAAAAGCTGCTGATTCTTACTTCTTGATATCTTGTAAAGCAATTGTCCCTCCTTTATTATTTAAATTGCATCTGAAATTATTTTTGTTAAATAAAATGTATAAATGTTGAAATAATACAGTTGAGTGATTATATTAAAGTGTCAGAATATATTAGAAAAAACATTTCCTTTATCTACATCAGTCTCTATCTGTCTGGTTTTCTAACTGGTTAACAATTGTTATGGTTGATAAATTGGGTCAACTTGAGAAATTCAGAAATTTAAGAAACTCTTCAGGGAGTCAGGATCCTTACTTTGTAAATATTCTCAGCATGTGCAAGATGAGGGCACAGAGGTGGTATGAATGCTACATCCATCTTGTGGGCAGGGGGTGTAGCCTTCTTACAATATAAGTGCGGAAAAAGTCTTGCTCTCCCCAACTTTTGTTAGTGTTGCTTTGCTGTCTGGGCAGGACTGAATTGTTGCCCCTGTGCAATGCCACTCTGCCTTGGAGCCAGTTGATTATGGACTGAAACTTTCACAGATTGTAATCTAAATAAACCATTCCTTCATTAATTTTGGGTGCTGGGTATTTTGTTTCAGCAGTGAAAGAAAAGTGACTAAGATATTAATTTTCACATATCTTTTATTATCTCCTAAAACAGAAGTACATAGTAAGCAACTCTGAAGATTGAAAGAAAAAGCACTCTCAAAGCTCAGTAAAATTCTGAGATATGAAAAGCACTATGCCATAACACAAAAAATGATTACTCATGTTTACTATTGGGTTGATTAATCATAATACTTATTAATAGATACATTTTAAAAAACTAATGGATGTAAGAATTACTTGTAATACATAATAATATTTTGGTAATTATTAAGTCAATCAAATAGATCAAATGAAAAAATAAACTATGACTTTCAAAAGAAAAATATTTTATGTTTGGTTCAATTCATTCACAATATCTAAAATTTTTTATCACTCATAAGTGATAAGACACATTCCTACCAATCTTTCATATTCTTAGATAAAAGAATGCAAAAGGTAAACCACAAAGGTCATAAAATATGCTAAGTTTTTGCATTGAGTTTGAAACATAGGCACTGCCTTTTTCAAATTCCAAATCACTTTTTGTACTGATTCTTGTTTTTGCTTGCTATGTTCGTTGAAAATATTCATAACTTTATTGTTTTGCTCTAGTTTAATCAAAAGGTATATGCTCTCTTACCATCCAGAACAATTTCAAGTATCTGTTGAATGGGTTGAATAACAGCTTTGTGCAGTGGAAACCATCCTTTTTCATCAGCTTCATCTAGTGCATATTTGTATTTCATACACTCCTGGAGTTCAAAGATGTTACCTAAATTAAACATATGTACTGAATGTCTCATCTCTGTCTTTCCAGGGTGGTATTTCCAATCTATCCTTCTGTCAAAAATACACCCACTAACCTTGATTTATGGCGTCCATGAGTTTTCTGTTTTGATCACTTAGTGGCACAAATCTACCAGAAAAGAAAAACAAGCCATATTTATACTATTTGTATACTTTAAGGAACCCAAATTTTTTCATTTATAATGAGTATTTGGGAATAATTGCAATAAGATCTAAAGGAAATGCACACAAACTGATGAGATCCACTTTTAAAATGTAAATGCCTAAATCAGATGCAAAATATATTTATAATATACCAGACTTAAGAACACTAGTGAAGATTGTAAAAAGATGTGGTGATGTGTCTAAGGTCTCCCTGATCAGTGAAAAAGAAGAGAATGATCAAATTCAGGACCAGAATTTGATCAGCCTAGGGAAATCTAGTACTCTGTCTGGGTGTTCAATTCTTCATCCATAAAATGATAGGATTAAATAGGAGCTTCAAGATAGTTTTCAATTTTGAAAACTGTAAACTCAGTAGATGTTTGTTAGTGGAACTTAATTGCTAATAGACACTTGCTTAGGAGGCTATTTTTACACTGAATATTAGAGTTTTTAGTCAAACAATCTACAAGTGAAAATCCAACAAACTCCCAATCACTGGCCAGCAGGTCTTGATTTAAACTTTCATGGCAATTCTCTGGTTATGTGTGTGAGAGTTAACTAAAAGCATATAATTTAATAAAACAACCATATTGGTAAGAAATATTTACTAGCATTTTAGAGTTTAATGCCTTCAAGGAACTCTCAAGTTCTAAAATCTGCTGATGGTAAGTAAAAAAATCAAAAGACTAGAAATGTATGTGTATTAAGTCCCTTTTAAAAGCTCAAAAGCAGTCCGGGAGAACATGGCGGACAGATAACAGCAACTACCGGCGGCTCTCTGAAAGACTCGGCTCAGAAGCCAGGAATGGTGCGGACTAAGGAGACATAAGCAGGTGGAGATATGCTCTGCTGACTCAGGAACGAACTGGGCTGAGAGAAGCCAACTTGGAATGCAGTCCTGGTGCTAAAACAGGAACAGAAAAGACTCGGTGTGGAGGCTGGAACCGCGCCATTGTAAGCCGCGATTTGGGTTTCCCGCCGCGCAGCGGCTGGCTGCCTCTACAGCGGCTCGGCAAGGAGAGAGACGTGCAGAAGCTCTGAGAACGGCAATCTGCGAACGGCAGGGAGGCATGCACTGACTTATGGTGAGGTGAGTGAGAGAAACTGACACTCTACCACAGTTTGACTCCAGCAGAGGACTTTCTGGGCCCGAGCAGTCCTGCGGGAGCAGGGTGCGGTGGCGACTCCAGCCACACATCCCCCTCTCGGGCGGGATTGGTGAAAAGTGCCTGGCCTGCGTGACGCTGCCGGCAGACCTGGTAGACTGTCCCAACCCAGATCCCAGAGCCTGACGGTGGCCGGGAGGGGAGACGCGTAGGCTGCCTGGTCCGTAACTCCCTGGTGCGCAGCGGTGAGCGGGAACACCTAACTGGCGCAATTCGATCAGGCTGTGGCTGACTGGGAGAGAAGCTGGGCCTCTTATATAAGCTTGCATATATAAGGAACAGAGAAGAAGAGGCAGCATGGGAAGAGGCAGCAACAAGAAAGTCTCCTCACCCCCCAATTCTGAGAAACAGGCAATAGCAGACACCGCACCAATACACATAAGGCACCATATAGAGAGCCTCATAGACCAATTCAGGAATGAAGTTATCAACGACCTGAAGCTAGAAGTATGCAGAATAGTTAGAGAAATGCTAAGCACCACCCAAGAAAAAACAGGTGATGGAATGGAAGAACAGAAAAAAAGGGGAGAATTGTTTGATGGAGAAAACAGAGAAAGCATAGAATACGTGAAGCAGGTTCAAAGGGACTACCAAGATACTAAGAAGTCTATCGAAGACTGGCATAACAGCTTGAAAGAAACTAAGGACAGACTATCTGAACTGGAGGGCAGACTTGTAATATGGGAGAATGAAATGAAAAACTTCTTAAAAATAACAAAGAAACAAACAGCAATAATACAAAGACAAGAAGATGATAAGAGGATCCATAACTTAAGGATTAAGAACATAAAAGAAGAAGTAGGGATGCAAACAAGTGAACTACAAAAGCTACTCACAGAAATAATCCAGGAGAATTTTCCTAATTTAGCAAAAGGTAAAGATACTCAGATGTATGAGGCATACAGGACCCCAGCTACCTACAACCCAAACAGAGCAACACCCAGGCATATAATAATAAAAATTCCAGAAATTCAATACAAGAACAGAATATTAAAAGCTGTAAGAGACAAGAAACAGACCACTTACAAGGGAACACCCATCAGAATTACAGCAGATTTCTCTGCACAAACCATCAAATCACGAAGAGCGTGGGGGGAAATAATTCAAGCATTGAAAGATAATAATCTCCAGCCAAGATTGAGATATCCTGCACAACTGTCCCTGGAAATTGATGGAAAAACAAGGTGCTTCCAGGATAAAGAGGAACTGGGGGAATTTGCAACCACCAATTCAACTCTACAGAAAGTATTGCAGGATATTCTAAAAAAAGAAAAATACAAAGAACCCAGAAATAGTGGCGGGGAGGCCACAACAAATGGAGCAGAGAACAAAATGAAGAAGACAAACTGACAGCTACTGACAGAAAAAGAGCTTAACAGAAATGAGGCAGAGAAGATTGGATGATAGGAACAGCTATTTTGGAGAAAATGACATCTTAATAGGTAATACTGATTTAGTATCATCTTGTTTTGAAGTCTCATCTAGCTTTTGTCCTTCTGTCTCCAATGGTCTAAATAGGCTGTATCTTATTGGATTTTATTATGTACGATAGTATAAGCAAAAACCTTTTAAAGACAAGGAGATTATACAGAAACCATTGTTCATTTTCTGTTAGTCGATTCTAAATACTCTGTAATGCTGTCATTCTCTTGAATGGTTTTACATTGTTTTGATATACTTAATGCTACAGTATACGAAGTTGTACTCAAGGATTTCAAAGAAAGAAACAATATGGTAACTACTTTTAGGTTAGGATTATCTGGTGGTGAAACACTATTCTGCTTAAATGGTTATGTTTTGATCTGCGCTGTTTCGTTGTTATGCCCTCTTTTATCTCAATCTCCACTCCATTATTTACTTTTTTATCTTTATCCTTTTAATTAAAGGAAAAAAATAGCAGGATATATTATAGTAACCCATTTTGACTTTTCATTACCTTGATTTAAAGCCCTGTATTACTCTCACCATCTGGTTTTTAACTGATGTTCCCCTATTCTGTTTTGCTGGATAGTATCAGGTTCGAAAGTTTAGGCATCAGCTGTGAAGATAATGAGATTCATTATGACGCCCATTCTTGTTGACTTTTAGCTACTTTTGAAGACCTACAATGTCACCAATGTTTTGGTTTTGTCGGTTTTATTCTTTACTGTTTTGTTCAATTGTATTATAACTAATAATATAGGCAATTCTATTACAGATAGCGGGAGACATTATGGTAACCATTGTTGATCACCTGTATTATGTTTTTACATTATCTATTATGTCCACCCTTTTGACTTGACCGATTCTGTTCTGTTATGTCACATTTGGTTTTACTCTCTTCCAAAAAAGTAATAAGAACTGTGGGAGCAATGAAACCCAAAATGTGTAATAGTCATGGTACAAAAGAGAGGAAAAGAAAGTACTCTAAACTATATAACTGCATGTATATTTAAGTGTATAAGATAGAAAATGATATCACAGAGTTTTATTGGATCAATGAACAGAACTGTTTGCAGTATCATTGATGGAATGTCCACTTTACAAGCTTTAATTTTGTGACTTGAACAATTATTTCTAAGATGACAATATGTAATCCATTAACTAGTGATTTCCTACTGTTCATTTTTTTTCTGTAAATCTGTATAACTTGTACCCTTTCCCTGCTTTTTTTTTCTTTTCTCCTTAAATAAAATTAAAAAAAAAAAAAAAAAAAAGCTCAAAAGCAATGATTTTGTAGCACAGAGTTCCATTTAAAAGTATTATTCAATCCAGAAAATAATATTCTAAATATGATAAAAGAATGTGAAGGTAAACTAAGGTTTTTTTATCAGAAGTATATGGTATTTAAAATGGAAATTTACATTTGTGGTTTTAGACCCTAAACTTTCTACTTATGTAATGTTAATTTTGTGTATATTTCAATTTTTTTACTTATAAGAGTTACCTGAGATAATAGAACACACTACATACTGTTCAGACCTGTCTATGTATTTGTTGTATAAACTGTACTTGCAAATTTGTTAAATTATTCTGTTCTTTTGACCCCCTATTAATTTAGAAAATTACTTTGTTCAAATTATTCTGCCTTTTTGACTCCCTATTAATTTTAAAAAAATAGGAAGTCCTATCCAAATTTTCTGTTTAGGTCATTTCTGTTTTCCTTATGATGTAGAGTCTTAAGATCACAGCATTAAGTTCTGCACAGTGGCTTTTACAAGGATGTTAGTTTTTGCTAGAAAAGATGGGAAACCCTTTCCCAAAGGAAGAGTCAGGAGATGAATGCCACAGAAAATTGTGTTGACGACATGTGATTAGAATGCTACCTTTCAGGATGAAATACAGTCTGACTGGCTTCAATGGATTCTTGAATACTAAGCTGGATATCATAACTTGTAAGATTATCTTCATCGAGGTCATCGTTAGGATCCATACCTGGATATAATTTTGAAGAAGCAATTTTTCAATGTCAACAAATAATATTAAACATCAGGCAGGATTAACATTACAAAAGCAAAATGAAAAACTAAAACTCATTTCTCTTTCCTCATTTAACAATAAAAATGGAGTTAATATTTTAATCCTTAAAAATATATGAGGACCATTTTCTGAACTTGGATATTCTAACTGTGAAAACCTTCAATTACTGACCCACTGAGCACCTGCATTTTTAAAAGTTTTACTTTTCAATGTTGGCTGCTGTTGGGCTTATATGAATTCTATTTTTCCAAGCTTCTGATGTATACTAATTTTGGCTCATATATTTACAGAGCATATTGTGAGTTCAAAACTCAACCTAAAAAGAGACAGGTCAGTGGCAGTTAACAGAGAACAGTGGTTGTTTTACATTCTATACAAACACACAGCGTTCACCAGTAAGCCCTGCTTGGCCTCAGAGCATGGTTAGAACAGTTGAGAAAAGAATCATCTTAATTGTCTGTTGATCAGAGGGCAACCCGGCTATATATTTCCCATTTATTCCTCTATATAACTCTGTTGATTTCAAGTCAATGCTTCTGGCCGGTCCTTCTCCCCTGAGGATAATGCACAAAAATTTAAATCATTATTTGTCGGCCTATTGTTTCCAAATATCAAATTAAAAGAGTGAATAACAATTGCTATTGAAGCAATTGTTTTATCGTTTGGTGAGAAAGTTTAGTCAATGGAGAAATAAAAATAATTCTATGGGTAGGTTAATTACACTAATACGAAATTATCTGGAGTTAGTACTACTTTTCAAACCAAAACATATTCTCTGCATGCATTTTTATATTGTAGTGTGTCTTTTCAAGGGGAAAAACAAAAACTTTCTGCAGGTGATTTCCAAAACACAGCTGACATGTGCTGTACAACTCTTCTCACTCTTCAAGGTTAGATGGTCTTAAACTCCAGGGACAGTTCTAAACACTCTCAAAGCCAACGTCCCTGACCTCTGGATAGGGTGCACAATTGCAACATTAGGATTTTATTGCTCATCACTTCAGAACAGAAGGCGTGCAGAGCAGTGATAGCGTTCAGAGGTCACTGAGGTGGTAGCATTGAGGCACGAAGCCAAGTACGCCTCACTCTGGGACACCTCAGTCGTCTCAAAGGCCATGGAGCACTCTGTGTGTCTTCTTTGACAAACAGATCTATTTTACTTTTTACCAAGTTTTTGTTTGTTCATAATTTCCTCCCTCTGAAAGGTAACTACTTAAGAACAGCAAAATCGTTTGCCACCTCTGTTTGTAGAGAAGCATAGCCTGATAGCTTTATGGTCTCCACTTGTGTGTAGAATGAATTAATGCGTTCATAAACCAGCACTGAAATAGAAACCACACTCTGCTTTGTTCTTACAACTGACCATTTCTCTCAGGAATGAAGACTCTTTCACTAAACAATTTGAGTGCTCATTGTGCTTGGCTTCGTTTTTCTCAGCTTCGAGTTATTATAAATTTCCTCTTCCTTCACTCATGAGGATTCCAGCTTTTAATGACACCCCATACCCACACTGAACCATGCCTGGCCCAAGACTGTCCTTCTATTGGAAAGTCTTATTGACATTCACTTTCTCATTAGTCTTATTTATTGGCAAATATTTCTTCTTATATAACATTTCCCTGGCATCTATATTTATATTCATTCTAATTTGCTTTGCAATTTCTTTACATATTTATGTTGTGTATTCTTAGTTTTATGAGGGGAAAAACTGCTTTCTTTTTGCTGTTCTTGGGATTGAACCCAGGGTTTCCTCTATGCCAAGAAAGAGCTCTACCACTGGGTCACATCTCAAACCCCGCTTTCTTTTTCTTTTATGCCTTTCTCCTCTATTTCCACTCCCAGATAACTGTGGCAAATTGCTGGCTTCAGTGGTCACTGGAAAAAAGTTGCCAGTTCATTACCAGTGAACAAAGGCTGAGTACTTCGTATGCTATGACTAGCTAACAAAGTTAAACCTGTGGCATTGCCTTTTTTCCTTTCCCATGGCGACAGGGGAATTGCATAGCTCTGGGATTAGTAGTGGAACACAAAGCCTTTCACCTATTTAAACCACCAGTTTAAATCCTCCCTGATTGAAATCTAGGCTTCTGACTCATGAGACACCATAGGCAACTTGGGACCTAAATTGTTCTGGAAATTCAGTCTTGGAAAGTTTTTCCTTTTAATATTCTTTTAACTACCACCAAGAAAGATGTTATCTAGATTCTGAACAGTTTGTATCCCTAATGAGAGCAGCACAGAGATAATAGGAAAACCTACACGAGACAACTTCAATCTCACACAGGCTTCCCAAGCCTCCTACTGACAGTTTGGCATGGAGGGAGACTGGGTGCACTTATGCACTAAGGTGCGGAGACATCAAGGAGCATCCCTGAGATGGGCTTAAAGATATCAAGGTATAATAAAGACAGACAAGAAGAGAGATTTATATTGATTGTAAACTTAAACCAAGACTCAATTTTAATTGGCATCTAAAAAGTCAATAGGAAATTACTCAAATAAAACATACTCCAGGGTAGAGAAGTCAAGGTCAAGTAATATATTGACATCTTTTAAAATCTATTCACAAGCATTAACTTCTCAGTCTATTTAAAAAATTAATTGACCCTTTCTACTCAATTTTATTTTCTAGAATCCCACTAGTGAGATTACTTTCCCTAAGTAGCTGATTTACAAAATAACTGGGCAATCTTATTGTAAATTAGCTTTATCATTTAATCCTTGCTGAGGGTCAGGAATGCATTTGATGAGAGTTATGGATTCTTTCTCAAGAAGGATATATATCTACTCAAATTCTACATACAATTTTAAGGAACGTGAGGATCCTCTGAAACTCTTTCATGTATCCCTGGCCCAAAAAGAGTGAAATTCAGGATTTTTCAATGCTAAGCTCTAAATATATTACCCAGATATCAGCAATTATTTATTTATTTTACAAATGGAATGAGTCAAATACAAAATTTAGATAAGTGTGAGAGTTTGGCATCCCTATAAATTTTAGAATATGTTTAGTTGTAAGAACCATAAGTTACATATATAGTGCTATTAAGCACCTTATAAAGCACCTACATTTACCTACATTACATTGTTTAAATGCTGACTTTAATGCTACATCATGAGTATTACAAATCATTGTGGATAAGTGGAATCTTGGGCTTCAAGAGATTAAAATACCTTCCCAGTGTTGTTGCAAAGCTAACAGTCTGAGTACACAGTATCTTCACTTTTAAGATCTTTCAGAAGCTTCAGGAAAACACCCCATGGCTGTTGACTTTAAAAGAAAACACACTGATCCTGCTCTTAACAGCCAGCTCTTGATGACAATAACTTCCAAAAATAAAAAATAGCTTCCAAAGACGCATAAATCTTTTTTCTTTGGCCCTGTGCAATTAGGTTTTGTGTTGCTGAAGGTGTCAGAAGTGTCCTAACCTTGCTTTGATTCTGAACTTTTTGTTTTGAAGTTTAAACATCACTGTCCAAAAAATATATCAACATACCGGCTGGTGCCTGGCCCAAGTTGTCAGGAGGCTGGGATGTCACAAGCTATGATGTAGAGTGAACAGGAGTACATGATGTTTCCGTGCTTCAGATCCTCCAAACTACTTCTAAATCCTTCATCCACACTAAGCTTTACTGTTAGGGCAGCTGATGAATTTGACACCCTTCAGATTGTCCTTTGCAACAAGGTAGTACCCGTAACATAGAAGCATAGTTCTCCTTTCCCTGAGCAGGACACATACAACTGTATTCCTCATGAATTGTTTAGGTGGTTTGCTCCTGATTACATCCAAATTCATCACCCCACCTACCCTAACACTTCTCAGGTATAACAAAATTGGAACAATGTCTGAGTCCATAATATGGCTGGCCTTGATAATGGGCTGAGAGAAGGACAGTTGCTTCCATAATGCAAGGAAGGGCTGTGTGTCCTTAAATATCACACTGCCCTCAGCACCTGTGGTGTCAGTGTCATTTTTTACAGCAGTGAGAGATACTGTCCTTCAGGGAACACTGTTATTCTGGCATTCCTTTTAAAATGCCAGTATTATCATACTAGCAATCAGCACAGAACAAGGATTTCTTGGGAGAGTTAATGGGAACAGACTGGGAAAAATTACATAAGATGATGGAGAAGGTCCAAGGTTGAGAGTTATCTGGAAGTGATAGAGAAGCCAAGAAAAGAACATTATGGCAAAATTTGATCTTCTTTACAGTTTACAGAAGTTAAACCCAAATCCAAACCCTAAAGTTGTGAAGCAACTGCAGTCTGTGTTCTGTGGAATGCAGAACCTTGATTCACAGAGGAAGTTTCCTTTTACCTTAAAAATGATATGGTCTTGATCGCAGAGATCATTGAGTGACAGTCCTAGAGAGAATCACTGGGATTTATCCTATCAGAGAAAAAGCAAGAGTTAAATAAGAAAAGTTTCATTTTTGATTTTGTTAAGAAAATATAGTTACATGCCAAAGGATATTCATCCTCATTTTTCTGTACATTGACCATTTATAAGGACTTTAAAAGATACTGTAAAATTGTGCAAATAAAATTTTGTTATAATTTTGGCATTCATCAGGTGGCTTCACACTTTAGTTTTTCATAGTCCTATAGCACAAAGTGGCATCAGATAAATGGCTCGCACTAGGTTTACATTGCTGGGGCAAAAACCCAACACCTGCAACTTAATGGAAGTGAGGTCAATTTTGGCTGACAATTTCAGAGTTTCAGTCCATGGTTGGCCAACTCTGAGGTGGACACATTGTGACAGATAGGCGTGTGGGGGGGGGGGTTAAACTGCTCACTTCATAGTAGCAGGGAAGTGGTCAGGGCAAGCAAGAGTCAGAAGAAGGATGTACCCTTCAAAGTTATTCATCTAGCAACCTAAGTTCTCCAATCAAGCCTCACCTCCTAATAGCCTGCTCAGCTATGAACTCAGCAATGGGTTTACTCCATGATCCATCACCTTCTAAGTCTCATTTCTAAACACATGTGCCTTTTGGGAGGCAGTTTGATCCAAAGCACAAATGACTTCATTTGACTGATTTCAGCAATCAGCCTCCAAGAGTGTTCAGAGAAAGATATTACTCCCCATCAGAAGTGGGTTCTACTCTATAGTCACAGGTAACACTTATAAGTTACAGCAATTCCCTTATTATGACATTTGTCTTTTTTACCAGTGAGAAAGTCTGTAGAGAACGGGAAGAACAGGATCATCTCAAACAGCATCTTTTTAGAAGGAATAGCAGAATATATTCTGCTGATATATTTAAAGCACATATTTACACACAATGTACATATATACACTCATACATGCAAACAAGTATAGTCCAGAAAACAAATTTTGCTTTGTATTACCTCAAAGATATACAACTTGACATTTAAAAAATAAAAATGTTAACTAGGCAAATTAGTCTCTAGACATTGAGTATATCTGGCAACTGATGATGATTCACTTGTGTGTTGGCTGAATGAATGAATAATGGAATTATCAAATATTCATTGTTCCTAAAATTACCCCAAAAAATCTAAATAATAGGTAAACATTTTATTTTCTCTTTTGGTTATATTATATTTTTGACTGACTACTTCAATTTGTGCTGATTAATATTTGATTTCTCTGTACATACATTAATGGCAGAAATTATCATACTGGTTTTTGCTTATCTATGGTTTCATTTTACAATGGTAGAAATTTTACTCTATACTATTATTTCCAAGTGAAGTTCAAATATAGCAAAAATGTAAGAAGATACCTATTAGCTCTTAAAAATAACAAGAGTGCAAGAATAAGCGTTAAGTTCACAAGCATACCCATTTACACGGGAATACATGTTTACAGAACAAAAATAGTGAAGCAAAATGATACATGAAACAGATGTACCCTTATCATAAACCAGTATAATGATATTCTTTAAAAAGTCCTGCCCCTTGTCTGAAACTTTACATTTAAAGATTTATGTTACAGAAATGATCAGTGATATGAGAAAAGATTTATAAGTTTCATCTCAGCAATATTTAAATTGCCTACACTTTAGAAGTTACATTAATGTTCAACAACAGCAAATTTGTAGAAGATACTATTTTTATACAAATGGTAGAATATAATAGGGATTAAATATTTGAAGACTAATGTAATTGGTAACCTTGTATTTAAGAATGATGTAACTAAAGTTGACTTTTAAGTAACTTAATTTGACTTTATTCCAATTTTGTTAAGGTAAGTAAAACTAATATTTACAACTTTAAAATCTGTGTATTTAATATATGAAACTACATGACTTAATACACATATTCATTATGAAATATTCAACATAATTAGCACTTCCCAGATTTACTCCCAAATTTCATGGTATAATCATTATGAAAACAATACAAAATCTTCAGGACTTTAAACATATAACTTTAAACATATACCTTACGATTCAGTAATCCAACCTCTAGGTGTATTTCCAAAGGAAAGACATCTACCCTCCCATGTCAACTGCAGCATTATTTATAATACCAAAGACATGGAATTTACCTAAACATCCACTGATAAATGAATAAAGCAAGCAAGCAATGTATTTATTACAGAACATTATTCAGCATTTGAAAAAAAAAAAAGGAAATCCTGTCATTTTGTGATAATGAAGCTAAACTTGGAGAACATTATAGTTAACAATGTAAATCAGACACCGGAAGACAAACATTGCAAGAGCTCATCCATATGTGGAATTTAAAATGCTCCACTCAAAGCAGAGTTAAATGATAGGGCAAGGAGCTGGACAAATACGGTACAGAGAGATTTTGGTCAAAGGGTCTGAGGTTTCAGTCATGCAGGATAAATTCTGGTGATCTTTTACACAACAATAATTGTAATGTATGCTTAAAATTTGGTAGGAGTGTACATCTTAAGAGTTTCACCAAGAACAACAAAAATAAAAAGGAGACTAAGACTGACTTTGTGGAGATAAATTTTACTAACTAAATAAATAAGTAACTGGCCTCGTGTCTACCTCTCAGGGCTGAGCAAGCAAGGAACCTTTGTAACCTTGAAAAGAGGAACTTGCCCAAATTTATAGCAAAGCAAGTGAAAGCTAGTGGTTTATCAGTCAGCTCTCCTGTCACTGCAACACTCACTATTTCCAACATCTATTGGAGGGCAGAGGTTCTGCTCACTGCCAAACCATCAAAACTGCCAAACCTTAGAAATAATAATAATTTGGTTCACAGTTTCAGGGAATTCAGTGTATGGGAAACTGGCTTTAAGGCAGAAACATCATGGTAAGAAGGAGCAAAGATACTTAGTTCATGCTGATCTGGAAGCAGAGCCAGGAACAGCACAAGAGGGGAGAGAGTGAGGGAGCAGATATGAATCCCAAATCACACCTCCATGATTCACCAAGACACACCCAAAGGGAATTTTACTAATTCCTGCACAGCTCTCAAGCCAATCAAGTTGACAACCCCACTTACCTGTCACTGGTGGGCTGAGTTTCTTGGTTTGAGAATGACCAGAAATCTGACAGATGTATGCATTTATCTGCCTTCTCAAAGCACAGGCTCACTAACCTACATTATCATATTGTTTGAATGAAACCAAAAGTTATTTTCCGCTAATTAGTGAATAGCTGTTTCCAAAGAAGGTTAAGCTACAGATTTTTTTTAAAAAAGCTATTTTGGTTTACACATCTGAGGTTTAGGTTAAGTAAAAATGTTTTGACTGTTTTAATTAGGTATGACAGTAAAAAAATTTCCATACTTTAAAAAAGCATTATTTTTATACACATACATATTTTTCTCTAAACATGTTTATTCCTGAGCATAGTGTATTTTGTTGGATGTAAAATTCCCGTGTGGTGTTTAAGTCTAATACTGCTCTGTTCAAAATTTAAACAATAACGAGCTGTCACATTTTTTAGTGTCTTGTATATATATATATTCAATATATATATATTTATATAATTTCTTTCTGCTGGAAGTGGTTGAATGTAAAGATTAAATGTCTGTTCAACTCCCGGTCCTGTCTCCCTGAATTAGCTGTGGCATTAGACATGTCTGGCATGTCACAATCAGTAAACAGTGCCTGTTATCGTTCAATGACTGAACTCTTCTAGAATGGGGAAGAGGGATTCTAACATGTTTCAGCAGTTTTAGTTATGTTCTCTCCCTGGCATAGGCCCTCTGATTCTCTTTCTATCTTGTCCTTCCTTTCCCCTGAAACGAGCAAATTCCAAAGCTTAAAATTATGTAGTTCACCAATCTCAGTTAGAATCCAAAGTGCCAAAAAGATTACCCCCTCTACCACACACACATACAGCTCTTCGTTTTTGGCCAGTTTTAACAATGATGAAAAACACAAGTCAAATTAATCTCTTCAAACTATTATTTGATAGTATTAATTGTGGCTTCCCCCGAAACCACGCAGAGAAAGTGTTCTTTCTTTGGAATATGAGATCCCTTTAAAATATCTCCCACGAAGGCTGTCTGCTCTCCCCTGAGCCATCTTGCATGCTACCCTTACAACATGGGATTAACCTCCTTCGCCATCAGATTGCTTTTCTGTAAACACTTACTTTTCCATCTCTTTCTAGAAGTGGCTCTAGACTGCAAGTTCAGAATGCAGCTTCACTGGTACAGTCAGACCAACACTGCACTCAGAGGGTATGACCACCTTTCTTTTCTTGGATAGTATATATCTGCGAATCTAATCTAAGATCACATGAATTTTTTAGTAATCATAATATACATTCAATTTGGGCCCTTCTTACCCCCGCTTTTGAAATAATATATTTCCCACATTATTTGATGTGTAATTCTGTATAGGATTCTCTGTTTCTATTATATTTCATCCTTTGTAGGTTTCG